TTGAACTTGCGTACTGGTTGATAATAGAAGAACACTGGCCTTCATCTTCAGCAAGATCCCTTATCTCTGCATTTTCTTGTAGATTATGCTCCTGATGCATCGGAATGGGGGTTTGGTCCTCTTCTAATGAATTTTGAAAATTCTCACTATTTGAGGCATTAATGGCATCTGAATTCAGAACCATTTCTTCATCTACTATTATGGATCTGACACCTTCTCCTGTAGTCTTTACGATAGTTTCTCTTTTTCTTTTCCCGGAAGATGAAGAAGGGCTATTATCTATAGCAAAATTTTTATCTTTTGATTTGGACTTCACGCGTCTTCCATGCTTCGCATGATAGACATGCATAACCTGGAGTACGCAACCAAAAACTATTAGCTACCTCACCCAATAAAACGAGGAACAAAAGAGAACTTTCAGGTCAGTCTCTGATTGTGGACCAGAGATGAGAAAGCTTTAAATCCAAAATCAACCTGAAACATTGAAGAAATCAAGAGTCGGCATGATCTCTAAGATCAAGGACAATAAGAAAATTATTTGGCAAAGTAACACCTGGTCTCAAATACTAATTTTTCCTAATAATTAGGCAGGTGACCTAGACAATATATACAGCACACACAAAACATATCTTTACCTGCTCTAAGGTCAGGTTCAGATCCTTAGCAATCTTCTCACACTCTTTGAATGAGAGTTTTTCCTTCTCATCGATTGCAATGCGCTGTAAGAGCTTAGCACGCTGTTCTGTTGTCATGACACGATCTGAGGCCCAAGAGCGGAAACGAAAAACCTAGAAGAACTGACTGTTAGAAACAGTTTTCTGAATATCTAACATAACAGGCAGATGGAAAGTATTGTCACAGGAAAAAAAAACAGCAGACAGAGATATAAGCGTAACACACATACAAATTTTAAGTTGGTTATAATATTTTGGTTTCATGGACTCAATTGTATCTATATAATAAGCCATAATATAAAAAGATCAAGCTTTATACCTCTTGAACAACAGATCCCGGAAATGCTAGCTTAGCAGCTCTATGATCGGCAGCAGCATAGCAATACTCTAAAGTTAGCCAGTATTCATCAACAGCATCTCTATTTGATAGAATAAAGTCATGCCGAATACGTGGACGAAAATCAAGATACATAACATTGGATGTAGCAGCAACAAACACAGGTTCCTCTATATAGGGCTTAAGCTCCATTGCATGGGTTAGATTAGCATGCTTCTCCTCAATTTCATCGCGTCTGAGTCTACTGCTTACCATCTGAATCAACTACAAAATAAAAATAAGCACAGGCAATAGAATCATTCATTTTCTGAACTGCACACACACTTCTCCGAAATACGTACCGACATAAAGTACTTGAGGTTATACTTAATTATTAATAATACCTTCAACCGGCGTAAGATATCAATAAGCATCGATAATCTCCCAGTTGCAAGAGTATCCATTAGAAGCTTATACTCTTCGCCAGGAAGCTCAGAAAGACGCATAACCTGTTTGCATTTCTTCATCATATCATCGGCTTTCTGAGTAGATCCAACAACTTGTAAAAATAGTTCGAGTGGCATGGCTTTAAAAGCATCTTCAAGTGCAAACAAATTGTCAAATTTCTGATCATGTATAGACGAAAAAGCATTGTCCCAGCTAGGCAAAGAACTAAAATAGTCCCAAAGGAAACAATGTAGGAGCTTCACACGAACCATCTTTGCAAGCACAAACCCATTGGCTCGCATGGCTCCTGATTTGCTAGCACGCGCATCCAAATCTACATTTGTTTGACCTCTCTGAACGTCATTCAATATTGGAATTAGCTCGTTGCTTTTCCTCTTCGATAAGTTCTGGCCACGGAGTCCCAGTTCAAAAGACCTAATCCTATCATGAATTTCACCAACTATGTCCCGAGTCAAACTTTGAACAGATGGATGAAAAACTACCACAGAGCTACGATTGCGACCACAATTAGTAACATTTGGGACACTAATGTTCATGCAATTGCAGAGTCCTTCTTCTTGAAGCCTGTTTAGAATTCTGTCAATGGTTTTCCTATCCACTTTGGAGCTCCTGTCCTTCTCAAGACTGAGCAGCCATTTATGTAGCTCGGCTCTTACAACAAACTTCTCCTCCTTTGGCCAGCCCAGAAAGAAGAAACAATTAGTCAGTTGGAAGGGAAAAAGAAGGAGAAATAAATTATGGCATGCAACATCGATAAAAGAGAACAGTAAGTACATTTAAGCGCTCAAGTATTCTCCGCTCTCTTCGAGAGTTTTCAACAGTAATCGGCTGAGGTTGGTGCACCTTCGGTTTAGCTGGCTTCGGTAGAGCGAGATAGTTCGTTTCTGACAAAGCCAAATCAGGGGACCCCATTGCAGTATTAACAACCTTATCACAGATCTCATGGAATGATTCTTGTAAGTTACGGCGTGTAAGGACATTTCTTCTTTTGGCATTAGATGGAGAACAATCAGGAACTCCTGAATTGCTTTCAGAATCAGTTAACCTTCCAGGTGTAGCAAAGTGGAGAACTCCTGAATTGTTTTCAGAATCAGTTAACCTTGCAGGTGTAGCAAAGTCAGTATCAGAAATTGCAAGACTGTGTTCGATGGAGGTCTGAGCCAATCCACCAGTATCATGAGGTGTGCCAAAATCATTAGTCGATACATTATTTTCCCAGCTACGATTTTCAACTTTCTCAGGAAACAGATCAGAACACTCGGACCCAGCATTACCAGAAGTCCAAACACGAAATACTCTAGTCTTCTTGTGGCTTTCTGCCTGTATATGCATCCCAACTCTTAAACAAATACTATAAAGCCGAGAGTAGCTCTTCTTCTTGTCAATTCCAAGTCTTTCACATACCTGGTAAAAATAATAATTTAAGACACATTGTAGCTCCCCAATTTCTTTTTCAAAAAATTCAGTCAAAGACATTAGGAATACCAAAAAGATTACGACTCTTTCAAGTAAGTAATTTTCTCCGAAAAAACTGTAAGCCAAACCCATCAAATGAATACCTCCATCACAGCCAAGCCTTTCGATCCTTCAGCATCAACCATATCATAAATTTGATTATCTATTGGAAGCTCCAAAGTTTGTTCTGTTCTTTGAATACTCCTTCCGAATTTTAGGAGATGTTTTTTCCCAGAGTAGTTATTAAAATCTTTTGCTGAAAATCTTTTTAACAAACGGAGGCATCGTTCAACCTGCAGAAAGAACAATCCACATAAAAATCAGTTTTACAGCCAAACAAAACAGATCAGAAATGCTAAATAACGGCAATTGGCAACCATATGTGGTGAAATGTATTTAAATGATGGAATGCAATGCAGATTATAGTTCACCTTATTGTTCACCACAGCATCAAACTCCTCTACTACATGAGAATCTGTCAACCGGCGACAAACCTGATGTAATCCAAAAGAAAAAAAATGAGTTAAATTGGCAAAGTGTTGAAAGTCTGTTTTTCCTTCCAAATTTGCTTGGAAATATTTCAGTTCCAAGTGAATGAAAAGTTAGATGAAAAGAAAAAATATATATTTACACTTCTCCAAGCTCTATGCCTTGAATGTGATCCCAAATAACCAAGGTCTTGCTTAATGTCCGAGACGACTAGAACCTGCACTACAAGAAAATGAGTATAGAGCAAGAACGCTCGAGCTTTGATAAAAAAAATAAAGAAATGATTTGTACTCACTAACCTTCTCGTTAGCTTCTTCAAGCTTATCACAAATTGCCTTCATTGCTGGTAGAAAATCTTTAATGAGCGTATCCTCTTTTGTACTTTCCGATAGTAGACTATCTCCGGCTGGAGTAACCTCATGCTCCATCATTGGTGTCTCCGACAAAGAGTCCTCTTTGCAAATTTCAAACCTCTGCTGAGAACCCAAAGGCTTGGCGTAACGACTTAAGTAAATCATATTGGTGCTAATGCATGAAGTGGTTTTGGAATCCCCTTCGCCATCAACTTCCTTTGTTCTCACAATCGCTGGTTGCTTAACAACTAAACCTCGAGACTCAAGGTGCTTCACAATATAGAAGAAGTTCCTACCTTCGATACCAAACTCTTTAGCAAGCAGATTTTGTGCAACTCCATTGGCTCTGCATCAAACACATACAACATACTATTATACGAGCTCGAACTCTTAAGAGTAGCTAGAAGAGAAAATTGAATTTGCACTTACCGAGCAACAGCAAGCCGCTCAAGAACACGACGCTGAATAGCGGAAATAGTCGTGTTATTGGACTGAGCATCGTACAAGCCCACGAAGTTACCTCGGAGCTTCTCATTTGCGACGATTCTCAAATCTAGCCTTAATGCTTCTTCCAGCTGTTGAATGGAAGCATCAGATGGTTCGTACACAGTGTTCTTCGCCTTGAACTGGAGCTGAGGGACGGCGAGAAGATTTCTCCAGACATGAGCCTTGACGGAAGGAGAAAGAGGAGGAGGAGAGAGCCTTGACCAGAGAGAAACGAGAGGGATCCCTGTATTTCCCTGACAACAGATTTCCTCCAGTGTTGTGCATACAATCGAATCCATTTCTCATCATCCAAAAGGTACTCCGTTAGGTTTAGGTCAACGGAAAATCTTTCGCCGTTAAATTAGTCAGTCAGCCGATTTCCCGGCGACACGAAATTCTCGCCGGAGAGGTGTCGGAATTTATAGATTTGGAAGATGGCGGGATCAGAGGACGATCGAAGAGAAAGATAATCGAGTTCTTGGTGACGGGATCGATCTCGAGGAACTGCGAAAATAATTACGAGGTGATTAGGGGTTGAGACGATGAAGTGACGAGAATGCCCCTACGTCAGCAAGTTAAACATAGATTCCTTACACATCTAAACTACGTGCCGTTTTATTTGAGATTGAAACGACATGTTGTTTAAGCGAATTAGGTACAAACAGCACGAAACTCTTCCGGGTCGGGTCAGAATGGTTCGATCCAGATGTCTGGCTTCTCTAACCTCCGTATCTCTGCAAAAAGCGAGATTCAGAGTAAGTACAGGAAAAAATATATTTTTAAAAAATGGAAAAACATTAGGTTGGCTCAAATATCTCTGTCTCAAAAGACAAGTAGATTCCTTTTTATTTTATTTTTACAGTAACCAGTAATTGTTATCATACCCTATAAATTATCGGTGAAAAAGAAGGATTCTTTGTTTGTTTCCCGAGAAAATAATCTCGATTTCCATCTCCTATCTGTCATCGGAGCTTTTTTTCTTTCTACTTCACAAGGTAAGGAAACTGGATCGGAACTCTTTTGAATTCTGGGCTGTATATTTAATGTTGTGTTTGCTTAGGGTTTATGGATTATGCATTCACTTGGTTTCTGGGTCTTTTACATTGTTAAGGATTTCGAATCTTATCTGAATCTGTGTCTTCTTTTGTGATGTTTTAAAGCTATTTGTGGAACAGCTATTACTTCTTCCTTTATAGATCTCTTTCCCTCTTGGTTCATAAGACCAAAATCCCTTTTTTTTTTCTATACTTTATACGATTCATGACTTTTTCAGCTGAATCGTGTTGGGATATTGTCTGAATTTGAGGCTTTTAACTTTTAAGATTGGATTGTAACTGGAAATGTCTGTACTATTGGAATCTTATGTGAGATTAATGGATTAGAGCTCTGAAATCAAGATAGGATCAGGTCAACGTATGGAGAATAAATTGTGTTACTGCAACTATTCTTAGTCAACGTTTTCTGTTAAATTGAACTCCTTTCTTGGTTTTGTTTTGACATGATTGTATTGAAACAGGAATAAAAGATCAGTCAAGAGTTTGATCTTGGTTGAAAAACCGAGAATGGAAGGAGATGTGTTGTCAGGATTTGGAGACAGACACAATATGGATGGGAAATTGTTGCAGAGTTTCCAGAAGAGCTTTGTGGATGTTCAAGACATTTTGGACCAAAACCGATTATTGATCAACGAGATCAATCAGAACCATGAATCGAAACAACCCGATAACTTGGGTCGAAACGTGGGTTTGATCAAAGAGCTCAACAACAATATCAGAAGAGTAGCTAGCCTTTACGGTGATCTCTCTCATTCTTTTGCAAGATCAGTGGATGCTTCATCAGAAGGTGAATCTAGTGGAACTTTGAAATCTGATGGGAAAGCTAACCAGAAGAGATTTAGATCCGGTTAGTATTGTAACCAAGACCATCAAAGTTTATTATCATAGATTCATATTCAGAGCTAATTGATTGAGGAAGGAGAGTTTTACAAATGTAATATCTCTGTTGAAATGAAAGTTGATTTTCAGATTAAGAGAGTCTTTACTTATCTGTTGGTTTACAAATTGAATAAACTTGTTGTAAAGTTTACACATTTCGGTTAATGATTCTTCTTCTGTTTTTAATTCTCCCTTCTGGTCTCTCCATTGTGCACGTTGGTTGTTGTGTAGCCTGAGTGATTTTTCATGCGAGTTTTACATGAGTGCAGTATTTTGAACTCTAAGACTAAGACGACACGGTTTGTTCAAAAAAAAAAAAAAAAAAAAAAAAAGACTAAGACGACACGTATTCGAATCCTGAAGTGTAAGACGGCACGCAGTTATGGTGCACGAGAGTCGGGACGGAACGGAGTTGGCTCTTTTTCGGCAGATATTTCGCGATTCGCTGACGTGGCAACATCTACGAGCTTCCCGCAAAACTATACGGATCCCAATTGGCACTCTCAAATCGAGTGTATAAAAAGCTTTATATCCGGACCTGATTAGTGAAAAAAAAAGCCGAAAGCGAGCCAAAACAAAAAAAATTAAAGCAGAACAAAAAAGTTTCTAAATTTCCAAGCTTTTTGCTTAGTCAAGAAGCCTCTCCTCCGAGAACTCTCGCCGATGAAACAACGAGCTCACTGGAAAGTCTAAAACTTTTGGCTTCCCCGTTCGCGTTCTACTTTCTCTGGTAACTCTCGTGTACTTGTTACTGGGTTTTCTGCTTTTCTCGTGACTTTTCATATTTCTACCCTGAAAATTCAGTGTTGGGTTTGTTTGATTCACTGTGTTGCGAGTTAAACTGAGTAGAATCTACCAAAACTTGATTTTGAGGACTGCGACACGCAAATTCCATTGAATTTGATAAAAGGTAGCTTAAATTTGAAAGCTTTTTGCATTCTGAAGATGTACTAGTGTTTTTCTCTCTTTAAAAGGGTAAAACCAGAATTTTGAGTATCAGTTTTGCTTATACGGCTTATGCCTTTTTGTGATTTCAGTTTGTACCCTTGAATTTGCATTTGGTAGGTTAGACTTCAGGAGCAATGTTTGGAAATGTGGAAGGCTATGGAGATATGTTTCAAGACAGTATTTTTCAGACAAGAAGCGGTTCACTTTCTTCAACAAATCAAATTGGAAACCGTGTTGCGTACAAGCTTGTGCGGGTATGTTCATAAATGTGTATCTCTGATTTATAGAACAGGGAAACATGGTGTTTTTTCTATTCCGAGATTTGAGAATTCTGACTACTGCGGTTACAAGTTGTAGCCTTTCAGTATCTTATTTGAGATTGGTTATGTGAATGCATTAGGTTGCAGGAGATGGGACTCTAGTTCCTGCAACTGATGAAGAAATGTTGAAGGTCAAGGATTTGCTTGAGAACAACGAGCATGTTAACGAGCCTGATATGCCTGTTTTACCAGAGCCTATACAAACTGAGAAGTACATTCCCGATGAAGGTTCACCTTCTCAGTTTCTGCAGCTAGAAAACTTTGAAGGTTTGGTCCTAATACATGTTGAATCGCTCCTGTTAGAGCCCTTTTCGGTTTAATTTGTCTAATCTGCCTGAATTGTTAGAGGAAAACTAATTCTATACACGCAAAGACGGGTAGAATTTCCTTAGGACTGCACGAAAAGGGTATTTATTGGGTTACTTGCAATGTTGGAGGTCTGACCTGTGTTTTATGTGTAAATATGTGTTTGCGTCTGTAGCTTTCCCTATCTGATGTCTAGGACAGTCAGTTCTATTTAAGTATGCAAGCATTTGTGAATCTTCGCACTAAATTTTCTATTCTAACTCAGCTTTTGAATCCAGGCTTATTTCAGTCGGAAACTGCAGAAGCATATACAGAAAATATGAATTCTCGACATGAGGTTTGTTCACGTTTTTCAAAATCTAGAAACAGAACTTTCTAATATTGTTTCTCATGTATAACTATCTTGGATCAGACGGCTGTTTAATCCATCAATTTTACTCCACCTTTGAAACTTTTGCAGTCCAAAGAGGAATTGATGTATGGAACTCAGATGCTTTTTGCTCTTCCGGATACCAAATTTCAAATTTCTAATGAGCTGCCTGGGAATGTGGAGCAAGTCCAATCCGAAGTTTTGCTGTCGGAACCAATTATTTTTTCATCAAATCGATGCAGTATGAATCAATCTACGGATGACTTATATGCTACGGGTAGTCGTAACGAACCTAAAGAAGCTGCATTGTCAACTGCTGCCTCGAAACCTGAAGTTTCTAGAGTAGCAGGCGAGATATGCTTGGATAATCTTTCAATTAGAGCATTACAAGAAACATTCAGGGCCACGTTTGGTCGCGAAACTACTTGCAAGGACAATCGATGGCTCAAAAGGAGAATCACAATGGGACTGATTAATTCATGTGTAGTTCCAACAACTACCCTGACAATTAATGATAACAAACTGATTGGTGGAGATCAAGATGCAATTGATGCTTTTAGCAAGGATACATTAGATGAAGAAAGAGCTATTGAAAGCAAAGATACACCATCTAGTCCTGACTGCATAAAGGGGCATTTAGATGATTTTGGGCATACTTCTGTTGAAACTTTTGTGGACTATTATTCTGGAAACGAAGATTTTGATGGTGAACATAGGTCTGCAAAGAGAGTTAGGAAGCCTACAAGGAGATATATTGTAGAAACTTCAGAAACCGGTGAAAGACAACAAAGTGACGAGTCAATGATCCCATCAAAAGATCAGAGCTCTATTCAAGCCGTTTCTTCAGGAGGGGGAGTTGTTGTCACCAGGATGGTATCCCTAGCTGGTTCAAGAATTCAGGTTCCCTATGTTTCTCATGTAAGAAGAAGCCGTCCAAGAGAAAACATAATGGCTCTCGGGGTATGTCTTTGTTACTCATGCTCTTCAATATCTTTATTAACCCCATTCCTTTTCATATGAGCTATCAAAATCTTTTTACTTATCTGGCCCGTGCTAGATCTATGCGTATTGTTACACACTGGAAAAAGGGAATATAGAAGAATTCATTATATTGTGTTTGCTGCTGTCAAGGTAACTAAGGATAATGTTGTTTACCTGCACATTTTGTAGGAATTTCATTCCAAGTCATGGGAGGTGAAAGCTACTCCAGAAAAGGGTAACCTGAATCTAAGCCCATCTCAGTTGAACAATGATGTGAACCGAGTTCCAGCTGTCAACTCTGCGCCTAGACTCGTCCAGAAAGAAGTAAGACCTCTTTGGCATTTCTATATAACTACATCATTTCTATAATATTGGAGAGAATTTTGTCAATGTATTATATATTTTGTTGTGATTCTATCTATCCAACGAAGCCTTAAACTTTGAGGGAAATGGTCTCATTTGCTCTGAACTTTAGGGTTTTTAGTTGAGATGGCATGTAAAAAAGACTTTGAATAATCATCTACCAGTATATTTTGGATTTCTGGTACGAGACAGTTGCTCATTGCTTTATCTATTTTGGTTATCAGAGCGACAAGGACCATTTAAAACCAATTTTCACTGAGGTGGATCAAGACATGATGGAGCCAGAGCTCTTAGACTCATCTGGAGATAGCTCAGATGATAACTGCGTTGATGTACCAATCACGCAAAGTGAAATTAGAAGGAAGCTTCATCGAGCTTGGACTGTCTCTGAAGTTGAAAAACTAGTCGAAGGTGTGTCCAAATATGGAGTAGGGAAATGGTCTGATATCAAAAGGCTTTCATTTTCACCATACACACATCGTACCTCTGTGGATCTCAAGGTTGGTTCAACATAACTATTAAACTCTCTCATCTCAATATTCATAATCCTGGTTTGTTTGTTTTTTGGTTTAATCACAAGTGTCTCTTCTGATAGGACAAATGGCGAAATTTACAAAAAGCAAGTTCTTCAAACAGGATGGTTAGCACTTCCCACATGTTATATAACTTAAAAGCAAAATCAATTAACCAATAACTAACTTCGGTTTACGACTAAACTGGTGAATGGGTGTGTTTTTGCAGGGAGGAGGTCTGAAGAAACACGGTTCGATGGCCATTCCTAGTCACATTATGTTGCAGGTAAGAGAGCTTGCTCAGAAACAATCACCAATTTCACCTGTAGAAAGCAAGGCTAGAGTGGTGAAGAGATCAAGATCAAGAAACGGTTTCTTGTAGCGTTTCTTTTTCTCGTATAAATTTACTGCCGTGGATGTGAGACTTTTGTAGTTTTTAAGGTAGCTTTTGTGATTTAAACAGAATCACTAACTCACTGGTGTTTGGAATTCTCAATTGATGGTATGAAGTATGAACGCTTCTCTCTATATTACCGAATCAAACCAAACCAAACCAGATTATCAAATTCCACAACAAGACGTATGACTAAAAAATTTACTAAACCAGCATTTCACTTTTCACATCAATAAAACGCAACGTTTCACACCACGTATTAAACGCAGCGTTTCATAAGAACAAGATAATAAGCATCGAAATGGAAAAAGGCCTTTTGGGCTCTAAGATGAAGTAAATTGGCCCATAATCATTTTGTGCTGCGCCCTATAGCAAGCGTGCTCTCTCTCCCCTCTCCATCTCTCTCTCTCTCTCTCTTCGCCGGAGATCGCCTTCACCAATCCCCACTGTGAGTCGCACATCAAATTTTCCAACTTGTTCATGCAAAGACTTTGATGTATTGTAAAATCGCTTATCTTCATATGTTTCCTGCATTTCGAGCTCGTTTACTGGAATTCATTGTGGGAATTGATGTCCCAACATACGTTTTTTGTTCGATTAGACTTAAAGAGCTCAGCTTTCGCCTTTTAATGAAAATCTGTTTACTGGGTGGATATGGTTTGATAGATAAGCTAATTTAAGCAGAATAATTTATCCAAATGCTTTATATGCTTATGGATATTCTTTGGGTTTGATTTAGCTCTTTAGTTACCATTCTCAAGTTTTTTGTTTGAGTTATTGTTTAAATGTTTGTTATTATCATAATCTATGAACTCTCTGATTGTCGTTACGTTTCTGATTCTGAGTCTATTGATAAGTAACAATCTTTGTCCTTTACTCTATCCACAGATAGTAGCAAGAACAAGTGAAGCACAATGGGGATCATCGAAAGGATTAAGGAAATCGAGGCTGAGATGGCTCGGACTCAGAAGAATAAAGCTACAGGTTCTCTTTTCACATATAGAACCTGCAGTTATAGGCATGGGACTTATCACTTTCATATTGTTCATCCTCAGACGAAATTAGATAACAAACGTTATGCCTGTATATTAACTAACAATCTAAGTAGAATACATTATAGATACTTAAGCCGATTTTCGAAATAACCACTTTGACAAGTTTCTGTCGCTGCTTCTGTTCCCCTTCTTCTGATCTAACATTTGCTAAATGAAATAGAATAATTTTCAGCTAATTGTTCTGTTTGATGAACAGAATATCATCTTGGTCAGCTCAAGGCAAAGATTGCAAAGCTCAGGACTCAACTGTTGGAACCTCCAAAAGTAACCTCTTTATAAAATACTAAACCATTAACCTATGCGCTTATATTTCTAATTATAACTGAATGATTCTTGAAGCTTGTTTGTTCCCTTTCTTAGTTGGGTTATCGTTATAGTTTTCCTTGCTGTTGCTGTCTCTTTACTACTGAAATAGACCATGAGTAACTGATTTATTCCTCACCTTAGCTTATCTAATTTAGGGCTATAATCTACTGTAGAATTTCCTGCTATGTGACCAAGTTTACAAATGTATGCTGCTTGTACCTCAAGTAGATATTCAAATCTTTTTCATTACTGCTTTCAGTTTGTAATTGTCTTCCGAATTCCTTTAACAGGGTGCTAGTGGAGGCGGGGAAGGTTTTGAAGTTACCAAGTATGGTCATGGACGTGTTGCACTTATAGGATTTCCAAGGTAATGTCATAAATACTTATACTCACAAGGATCCATTTACAAATTATTTCTTGTTTTGTAAAATTATGTTGCTCCTTTAGAAATTGCTGACTTAAGTTTGGGGAAACTAATGGAAGTGATTGTACTTTGCAGTGTCGGAAAGTCCACGCTTTTGACTATGTTAACTGGAACACATTCTGAAGCAGCCTCATATGAATTTACAACACTTACATGCATCCCTGGCGTAATTCACTACAATGACACAAAGATTCAGCTTCTCGATCTTCCTGGGATTATTGAAGGTGCTTCGGAAGGAAAGGGGCGAGGAAGGCAGGTTGAAATCCAATTGCATTATTTTCTTGTTGGTTATCTGATTTCTTTTTGGATGGTCAAGTTATAGATTTATGATTAATTCCCAAGTTTTTCGCCTATCATAAAAAGATAATCAAGATGATACGAACTTTGGTTATGACTGCTTATTTCTCAGGTTATTGCTGTTGCAAAGTCTTCCGACCTTGTATTGATGGTTCTTGATGCCTCAAAAGTGAGTTATGGTTTATCTGTCCTTGTGAATTGGTATATGGTTTTCATGCTGCATTCGTTTATTAATCTTATTATTTGCTCTTAAAAATTTGTTAGAGTGAAGGCCACAGACAAATACTGACTAAGGAACTTGAGGCAGTGGGCTTGCGGCTAAACAAAACTCCTCCGCAGGTAAAGCTTGTCTTGTCAACAGTGTCAAATTATAGATGTGTCATCTAATGCTCTGAAGTCTAAACGCCTTCTGTTTTACTTGATATGCTCCATTCAGAAATTTTGGTTTCTTGTGGAATTTGGTTATGTAATCTTTGCTTTGTTCTGTTCATCAGATATACTTTAAAAAGAAAAAGACTGGTGGAATCTCTTTCAACACTACAGCACCCTTGACTCACATTGATGAGAAGCTCTGTTATCAAATCCTGCATGAATATAAGATTCACAATGCTGAGGTACGTGGTTCCAACTTTATTCTTGCATCAGATCAGCCTCAGAAAAGCTTTTCCTTGCTGTTATTGTCTTGTCTGAGTGTTATCAGTAGAATTATTAGAATTTGCAGACATTTTGTGTATATTTAAAGCTTTCTTATGGTAGTTTCTACTCTGGTGGTGAGTTTTGCAGGTGCTATTTCGTGAGAATGCCACGGTGGATGACTTTATTGATGTCATTGAAGGCAACCGAAAATATATTAAGTGTGTATATGTCTACAACAAAATAGATGTTGTTGGAATTGATGATGTGGATAGACTATCCCGGCAGCCAAATTCCATTGTTATTAGCTGCAATCTTAAGGCAAGTTTTGTAACATTTCGAAAGAGTAGTCTTTTTAGACCTGCAAGGATGGAAAATGCTAAAACTCTAATTTGTTGCTGTTCTAGGTTTCCGCTGTCATTCTGAGTTTGATATTTGCCAAATATATTGGTATTTGCCAAATTTATTTATATTTTACTGCTGCTTGAAACAGCTTAACTTAGACAGACTACTTGCAAGGATGTGGGACGAAATGGGCCTTGTGAGAGTTTACTCGAAGCCGCAAGGCCAGCAACCAGATTTCGATGAGCCTTTTGTCCTCTCATCTGTAAGTGTATTCTTTCTCATTGCAAGATAACCCTTGAAACTCTTCCATATATATGATATATTCATCGTTGATTACGTGTGATTCATCAGGATCGAGGTGGCTGCACAGTGGAAGACTTCTGTAACCACGTCCACAGGACACTGGTGAAGGATATGAAGTATGCACTCGTTTGGGGCACAAGTACAAGGCACAATCCTCAGAATTGTGGTCTTTCTCAACATCTTGAAGACGAAGATGTTGTTCAGATCGTCAAGAAAAAGGTACATAAACGAAAATCTTTCCATTGACAAAGACTCTTGTTCAAATCTATAAATTTTGATCTATGTTCCTTGATGAGACTAGCTAAACTTATACTACTGATTCTGGAATCTTTAGGAGAGAGATGAAGGAGGAAGAGGCCGGTTCAAGTCACACTCAAACGCCCCTGCTAGAATTGCAGACCGAGAGAAGAAAGCTCCTCTGAAGCAATAAGCTTTTAGCTGATAAGTGATTTCCATACACCCATCTCCACCATCAATAGTCTTGGATGGTTTCACCTGAGTAAGATTTACTATGTTGTATCTGAATCCTTTTTGTTTTTTCTCTCACAATATAAGTTTTCAAACCATTTTTCTTTTTGAGAATACAAATGGAAGTATACGTTCCTAGTTATTTTTTTTCGTAAGCTATATTTTTGATATTTGTTCACAAGTCTGCCTCTAATTCTTGAAATATTCAAGTAGAAACAATAAAAAGCATCCATATGGAAGGTTTAACAAACAACTAGAAACAAGATCGACTCTGATTCCAAGTTATAGAGAAGTGGCCTAAGTAGCCAAATTACAATCTCAAATAACTCTCATCAATATTCTTATATGTAATCGGTACACAGAAGCTGTTTCTGTATCTATAGTTCGTGTATATGTTTCACAGGAACCGTTCCTGAAACAAGACAAAATATTAACCAACAGGCTGTTAAAAATGGCTGGACAAGAATCATCACGGCTCGCTCTTTTAACTTCTCTGGCTCTTGGCCCAGACATGTCTTCCAGTTACTATCCCCGGTGGGTATAGATCAGTACACTGGTCTGAACCAGCACTGCATCTTGCATCTCCGTTGCAAGATAATCCTGATTGTCTCTGCTTGGCTTGAGTAGATTGCGTCAGGCTCATATAGCTCGGCTTTCGATAGTATCCACCACCATCAAGAACACTGCTGGAGAATGCAACTGGTGATTGAGATGTCGATGATGTTGATGTCTCATCGTGTAAAGAATCATAACTCGTGCCAGACGAAACCGGAGGAAGAAGAAGAGGAGGTCTAGCAAGAACTCTAGTTGAAGAAAGATTGTTCTTCCTGACTTTTACAGTTTCATATTCAGATATTACACTGCTCTCGCTACTTTTCCTTGAAAATGTCCCAACATCTTCATACCAGTTCCAACCAGGACTGCTCTTGCGTGAACCATGATGCGTAATCGCTCTTCCGCTTGGACTTGGACACGTCCTCGACTGCCAAAAAAAACTCATCAGACTTTATTACAATCAGCGAAACACTTTGAATTTCTGTTCTGAAAACACATTGACCAACCTGATGTGTGAGCGCATAAACCATAGCTCTCTCTCTCTTAATAGCCCCTTCTTGCTTCATCTGTAACTTCGTTTTCACTTCTTTTATACTTCTGGGGCTACCACACCAACCCTTCTGTAAAAACATCAACCAAATTCACATATTTTGAAGTAATGTTCAATAGGCTTTACTCAAAACTCCAGCAAGTTTTCGATTTATATTTACCTCAGTCTGCTTTACAGGATCATTTAGCTCAATAGAGTCTGAAGGCGCTCTACGATGAGCTCTTACACGAGACTGAACACGAACGAGAGCTTGCATACACCTGAGTGTAACGGCAGCTTGTTTCCTAACTTGTCTTCCACGAAAAATTGCCTGAATTCTCACTACAGCCTTCAGAGCTCTAAACGCCTGTCTTGCCTGAAAAAGAAAAAGAAACACAGAGAAGATTCAGATGCTAGAAAAAAAGACAACACAATGAACAAGTGAGTAGAAATGATCAAATCACAACTAGAAGCTCATATAACTACAGATTAGTCAAGAATTCACATACAAGGAAAGCACGAAAAGCAGCCTGGATTCTTGTTGAAGCCCATTCTCGCTTAACCATCAAAAAATCCTTTGGAGGAGCTCGAATGAGAGCTGCCATGGCCGTAGTAAAAGTCTCGTCAGCCGAGAAAGACGGTGGCTCTGAGCCAAACGAAGAAGCTGCATAGCTTCCTCGGCTCTTGAAAGAAGAAGATGTGAAGCTCTCTGATGAGATCCTCCAAAGCTTCCATTTCTTCTTGCTGCTCTTCTCACTTAACTTCTCCTGCTGCACAATTAACAGAGAGTGAGAGAGATCAATGTTTGGTATAGTAAGAAGAAACCACAAAGATTGAGGCTTTTTAGATTACCTGATCATTTACTGGTTTTCTGTGAGATATTAGTGATCTAATCCAATTTCCTGACCCACCCATCTTCTCAAATCGAAACCCTACAAAAGATCACAACTTCAGAAGCTATTGATTCAAAAATTCGAAGCTTTAGAGCTGCAATGTGGGAAAAGCAGAAAGATTGTTTCTGGGAATTTGCTTGTGTTGATTGAGATTGATGTTGACAAAAGTTTGCAGTGTTAAAAAGGAAGAAGAAGAGAGAGAACTTTTGAATTTTGAAATTTTGGGGGTACGAAAGCAATTTCTTAAAATAACGGCAAAACTTTAGGTTTTCTCTCCCCTTTAATAATAATAATTTGTTTCTGAATTTTCTTAAAACCCCTCTAGTTTTCTATTCTGAGTTTTAACCCCATAAATTATTAGATGAGGAGAAACTCAATCCATTTTAGTGTCGGGTCGGGTTTCCGCATTAACCGAGTCGGTTCGATCTACTCGTTAATCTGGTATTAGATCGGACGGTTCACATTATTTCATCTCGAAACCCAACAACAAATTCGTCTAGCTAGAGATTTGAAGAACACAAACACAACAACAAGATCATCCATGGCGGAACCAAAACAAAGCTCTCTTTCTGGTAACACCGAATCTTTGATGTTATCAATTTCACGGATTTATAGTTTCTTTTGTTGTTTCATCGCTTATTAATTTGTCTAATTCCCCCTATAAATTCTTCTATTCGTTTTTATCGAATTTAGGGTTTCTATATGTGATCGAATCACGGAACGTTTGGGTTATTTAGGTTTCTGTAAAAGATGATTGATTTGGCCGAAAAGACGAATCTTTTTATTAATCTCATTGATCGTTTCTGTTTCTGGGTTTTGGGTTTTTTTTTTCAGAGTCAGAGGTGAAGACAAATGTGATTGGAAGCAGAAAAGAAGACAAGGAATCGATGTTTCATGGGAAAGAGACTCATGGAAGAAGTGAAGACATTGATGAGAAGACAAGAGTTGATGATGTTAAAGGACCTGGTGTTCTCGGACGTATGAAGGAAGAAATGGAAGCCATTGTTGACGCTGTTACTCCTACGAAAAGTTCTGACAAGTGAAGAAATGATTGGTTTCGCTTCTTGTTCTTAAGATCCGGACTATATACTTCTGTTGTAAGAACTGTAACCACGCCCCTTTGCTTAATAAAGACCCGAGCTTTTAGATTCTTGACTCAGCACCAGAATGAAGAGTATAGATTCCTTATGGATAATTTGTGATCTACCAAAGTTTGAGTTTTACCATCTTCAAGCTAATTCTGAATGAAAAGGTTAGAGATTCCTAATGAAAATCGTATGGATTCAACCAAAGAACTAGGTGAAGGGTAAGTCCTTTCCTTTGTCTTGAAGCTTATCATTTCACATTCTCTATTCTCCATTTGGATGAAGGATCTGGATACTTTAATTAGTGAGCAATAGACTATCCTTAATTATACTATTCATGAAAGTGATCACTTTCTGCTGGGGTCTAGAGAGTTAATTCATTTGTTGTCCTGATTCTTGAATCTTGGATTCGGATTATTCGAGAACAACAGATTTTTATGTGCGTTTTGATGTAATTTTCATACTAGAAGTTACGGGTTTTGAGAATGTGCACTATGCTTTGATTCTTAAAGGTATGGAGTTAAAATATTGATTTTTTTTTTTTTTGTGCAAAGAGTTAAAATATTGATATGACCAAAAACAAACAAATGGAGTGTAAAATATTGACTTGTTATACAAGTATCGCGCAACAAGTAAATACATATAAATTGTAGTTTTCTACTTCAATCGTTGTGGGAGGAAAGTGTCCAGTAATAGCAAACGACTACGTACGGTACAGTCACCATTTCGTGGAAAATGATGATAAAAAAAAATGAAAAATATTTAAATTTAAAATGAACATATACAATAGCCACTAGTATATAGTATATATCAACCAAAGAAACAGTTTAATAAATGAAATTTAATAACTCTTTGAATCTTCATCATCAATATGGGTGTCCCTTTGTTTTGTCACATTATGATTACAGTGCGACATACCCATATGAAACTGAAATGCATACTATAAACGTATTCAATTAAAAAAATATCCAACTGCATGTTGAAACAAACAAAAAAAATTGCCTTAAATGGATAATAGTTATGGGACGCCACTATGTGAGTACTCTTCTCTCACGTTTTTTTATATGTGGCCCGTTCGATTTCTTAACGACCCTAAATGCATTTCTGTGGAAAAGTCAAACAAATTAATAAACGGCCAATGCTAGTAGATATTTAGGTGAAATAGCAATTGTCTCTAATTACATTATAAGGTTTTGTCTCAACTCCGAATCATGTGCATCTTATCTTATCTACTCAAATCTAAAAATATCTCGGCTTTAAGAGGACACTATTATTACCTCCTCTATAATTACACTGTTTTCCATGTTTCATCTAATCAATATAACAACCTTTGTTATTTTCTCGTTTTTAATGTAATAATTTTGGAATGAATAATGATATCATAAACAGAAACCAACGTAACTACGGGATAATCCCTCTGTTTCATAATAAGTGTCGTTTAAGGTTTTTGCACACATATTAAAAAAACAATTAAATTTTCTATTTTACCCGTTATCTATATATTTTATTATTTTTTTATTGGTCAATACATTAAATTAGTAAAGACAAAACTGGAAATTTTACCAAACATCTGCATTGAAAACACAAAACGACACTTATTTTAAAACAAAATTCAAAGGCTAAAACGACTATTAATATGAAACGGAGGGAGTATAGTTTAAAATGCTTTGATTTTATAAAACCAGTGTTTTTATTTGTAATTTTTACTCCCAGAATTCTCCAAATAACCTAGAATCATTTTGAAAATGTAAAATAATGAAGGGATATTATATAAAAACAAAAAGGGTCGAAGAGAATTAGTAAAATAGTGGAAAGTAGGTCAATGTGGTGCACGGGAAAAGAAAGTTCACAATGCTAGTGATGGGCGAAAAACTCGATAAAGGTTCATGGAATCATGGTGGTGAGATCCCATGTGATTATCCTTCCAGCCTAAGTTTACTTATAGTATGCATTTCTTACTCATAATTGATCATTTAATTCACTTTTACATTTGAAAGTATATACATAAAATCCATATACTAAAGTATAAACAACAACAAAAAAGACGTTTGGATGAGGATTACTGATTTATATATTGAGCCATGCTTGATTTGGCAAGTGGCAGTCTTTTTTACTGTTTTCTTCATACAATTTGTCCATATATTAGTCGTTTGGATGCAACACCATGCAATGTCATGTCTCCATCTACCATCATACTTTCATATCATTCCATTTTGAAAATATATAAATTGGGAGCAGGAAAAAAAAAAAAGTAGACAATAAAAATAGAGTGTAATATGCAAGTGCGGAATAAACATGTGACCAATAAACGAAACATACATGTTAAAAAGATTACAAAAACGGTGCGGATTGGTTCAATCCACTTCCCCGCGATCTCGCTTCGTAAAAAGAAAAGGAGTTTCTGACACGTCATCATCATCTCCCAATGCTAAAAAATGGCTAAAATACATGATTCTAAAAGCAACACTTTTTTCTTTAGGGGGAAAATGGTAATTATTAATCTTATAAATTCCAAAATACAAAAATGTACCTAATAAATACAAAGACTTTTAAAACTAATTGAAAATGTCAATAATAAAGAGATGTCGGCATTAACTGACTGATTTAAAATAATACATCATATTTTTTTTTTAACTTACACAAAATTGAGTGGAACAAGTATTTTTATTTGTTTGTTAGACCAATCAAAGAGAGTGATCCCAATTGATTGAATGGGAAAAATATGACCAGTGCATTACATTATATAATCCTACAACTATTTTAGTATTTATTTTTTTCTATAAAATATTTGTATTCAAAGAATCAGTCCATATTTATCATTTATCTGCAAATAGTAGTAATATTTTTTGCAGCTAAATTACAATTTGGTGATCATTATTAACTTTTTAAAATTCAGTGGTGGCTTTATTTTTGGAAGATTTTAGTGATAGTGTTTCTACAAAATAAATAAAAAAAAAAGTAAAAAAATATTTCTTAAAATGTTAGTAGTAAATTTGACGTCATAGTCGAAGAGAGAGAGAGAGAAGAAGAAGAAGACGAAGAAGTCGGAGAAGAAGCATCACCGAAAGATCGATCATTGGTACTGATTCAAAATTTCTCAGTCTTATAAGCAATAAGCAAACAAAGAAGTCGAATTCAAAAAGACAAATCAAATCTGTGTCTTTTCTCTAAAACCCTGTGTTGCTTGCTACTACGTCTCTGGAGAAAGTCAAATTATCTGAGAAAAAGAGAGAGAGAGAGAGAGAGAGAGAGAGAGAGGGAAAGTTTCTTCATTTTGGTTGCGTCTTGATCTCCCATTGTCATCATCAAAGTTCTCAGCTCATAATCAGCTTCTCGCTGAAATGAGTTTATGTTAGTTCGTCCAGAAACCAGCGGTAATTTCCTGGTGTCTATCCAGATTTGGCTGTTTTCTCCGTCCAAGATCTCCATTTCTTGAGTCAAAGTTGTTGTTACTTGGTTTGAAGATCTTGGACTAGCTTTTGCAAATGCGTTTGAATTTAAAGTTTCATTTTTTAAAAAAGTTCCGAGTTAATTGGTCCGCTAAATCTGATTCGAGATTACTGACTTGTCTACACTTTTTTCTCTTTCAAAAGTATGATTTGTTTTCCATAATTATATATATTTTTCGTTCATAAAGATCGAATCTTTATATGTTAAGGAAAAATCTAATTGTGTTTTATATTTGATCTTCTGTACAGACCAGCATTTACTGGGGATATGAGACATTGAGCACATTTGAGAATCTTGATGAAGAAGAAGAGTTCTTGATAAAGATTCTGTATTTTTTCTTGAGCTCAAGTTCTCGAGGGAATGGCACGAGGTAGAATAAGGTCAAAGCTGAGACTGAGCCATATTTACACATTTGGATGTCTTAAGCCAAGTGCAGATGAAGGTCAAGATCCTCACCCTATCCAAGGTCCAGGATTTAGCAGGACTGTGTACTGTAATCAGCCTCATATGCACAAGAAGAAGCCTTTCCGATACCGTTCTAACTATGTTTCTACCACCAGGTACAATATGATCACCTTCTTTCCCAAGTGCCTCTACGAACAGTTTCACCGTGCTGCCAATTTCTACTTCTTGGTAGCTGCCATTCTCTCGGTGTTCCCTCTTTCCCCCTTCAACAAATGGAGCATGATTGCTCCACTGGTGTTTGTTGTTGGGCTCAGTATGTTAAAGGAGGCTCTTGAAGATTGGAGTAGGTTTATGCAAGATGTGAAGATCAATGCGCGCAAAGTTTATGTTCATAAAAGCGATGGCGAGTTTCGTCGCAGAAAGTGGAAGAAGATTAATGTTGGGGATGTTGTCAAAGTTGAGAAGGACGGGTTTTTCCCTGCTGATTTGCTCTTGTTGTCGTCCAGTTATGAGGATGGGATTTGTTATGTAGAGACTATGAATTTAGATGGCGAGACGAACTTGAAAGTGAAAAGGTCCTTGGAAGTAACATTATCGCTGGATGACTACGAATCTTTCAAGGATTTCACGGGGACTATAAGGTGCGAAGATCCAAACCCGAGTCTTTACACATTTGTTGGCAATCTTGAATATGAGCGGCAGATATTTCCACTGGATCCAAGTCAGATTCTGTTAAGAGATTCAAAGCTTAGGAATACACCTTATGTTTATGGAGTGGTGGTATTCACAGGGCATGATACTAAGGTGATGCAGAACTCAACAAAATCGCCTTCGAAAAGGAGCAGAATCGAAAAGACAATGGACTATATCATCTACACGCTTCTCGTCCTACTTATTTTGATCTCTTGCATAAGTTCATCGGGATTTGCTTGGGAGACAAAGTTTCACATGCCGAAATGGTGGTACTTGAGACCTGAGGAGCCTGAGAACTTAACCAATCCAAGTAATCCTGTTTATGCTGGAGTTGTCCATCTGATCACTGCCCTCTTGCTGTACGGATATTTGATACCGATCTCTCTTTATGTCTCCATTGAGGTTGTGAAAGTGTTGCAAGCATCTTTCATCAATAAAGATTTACACATGTATGATAGTGAGAGTGGGGTTCCAGCACACGCACGCACATCGAATCTAAACGAAGAGCTAGGACAAGTGGATACTATACTCTCTGATAAAACGGGAACTCTGACTTGTAATCAGATGGATTTTCTGAAATGCTCAATTGCTGGCACTTCTTATGGAGTACGTTCCAGTGAAGTCGAAGTTGCTGCTGCACAGCAAATGGCTGTTGATCTTGATGAGCACGGAGAAGTATTCAGTAGGACAAGTACTCCAAGGGCTCAGGCTCAAGAAATTGAGGTAGAAAGTAGCATTAATCCTAGAATTCCTATAAAGGGGTTTGGTTTCGAGGATATCCGGCTAATGGATGGGAATTGGTTGAGAGAGCCACATACAAATGACATTTTGCTGTTCTTTCGCATATTAGCTATTTGTCACACAGCTATTCCCGAGCTTAACGAGGAGACTGGCAAGTACACTTATGAAGCAGAGTCACCAGACGAAGCTTCTTTTCTTACTGCTGCTAGTGAGTTTGGTTTTGTGTTCTTTAAGAGAACCCAATCAAGCGTGTATGTTCATGAAAGGTTATCTTCTTCAGGACAAATGATTGAAAGGTGAGACTTCTTAGAGATCTATTCTTAATTCTTTGATTATTTGTTTTAAATACACATCCTGAAGGTGTACCAGAAACAATGCAGGGAGTATAAAGTTCTGAATTTGTTGGACTTCACTAGCAAACGAAAGCGAATGTCTGTAGTTATACGAGACGAGGAAGGGCAAATTCTTCTGCTATGCAAAGGAGCTGACAGGTTAGAAGAAAAGCTAGAAAGAGATAATCCATTTGATTTTCAACCTTCATGTATATTTGAAGCAGTTTCTTGTTAAAAAAATTTTGCAGTATCATTTTTGAGCGACTGGCTAAAAATGGGAAAGCATACTTGGGACCTACCACTAAGCATTTAAATGAATATGGAGAAGCAGGACTCCGTACCCTAGCACTTTCATACAGAAAGCTTGACGAGGAAGAATATTCAGCTTGGAACGCTGAGTTTCACAAGGCCAAAACTTCTATAGGTTCTGATAGAGATGAGTTGCTTGAGAGGATATCGGATATGATCGAAAAAGACCTTATTCTTGTAGGTGCAACTGCTGTGGAGGACAAACTCCAGAAAGGGGTATATATATCAGACAAGACACCTTAGTTTCCATCTCCTCCATTTTGGTTTTGTGAAATTGAGTTTTGTTTTTCATTTGACTTAGGTGCCCCAATGCATTGATAAACTTGCCCAAGCTGGCCTCAAATTATGGGTTTTAACTGGGGATAAGATGGAAACAGCAATTAACATCGGGTTAGAACGACTACAATACCTTGAAGCAGATTTATTTTTGAAGTTCTTTGACCAACTGACCTTTTTGTTTTGAACTGCAGATATTCGTGTAGTTTACTTCGGCAGGGCATGAAACAGATATGCATAACTGTGGTGAACTCAGAAGGAGGATCTCAAGATGCAAAAGTAATATGGAGCTAAAATCATTTCCCTTTCTTAATCACAAAGGACCTACAATTTGAAGTTTCAAATTGATATATCTGTTGATGTAATCAGGCTGTGAAGGACAATATTTTGAATCAAATCACAAAAGCTGTGCAAATGGTGAAGCTGGAGAAAGATCCACACGCTGCATTTGCTTTGATCATTGATGGGAAAACCCTAACGTATGCATTGGAGGATGAGATGAAGTACCAGTTTCTTGCTTTGGCGGTCGATTGTGCGTCAGTCATTTGCTGTCGTGTGTCTCCAAAGCAGAAAGCTTTGGTATTTCCCCCCTTCCATTATGCCCATGTATATGAACACGTTGGCATCATGAGTTTCCTTTTATTTATGTCTGTTTAAAAAATTCTCCCAAACCAGGTAACAAGGTTAGTTAAAGAGGGAACCGGGAAAATCACATTGGCAATAGGTGATGGTGCGAATGATGTTGGAATGATTCAAGAAGCTGACATTGGTGTTGGAATTAGTGGGGTTGAAGGAATGCAGGTTAGTATGGTCTCTCTAGAATGTATTTTTAGTGTTCCCAACTTGTAGCAAATGTACAATGATTAATCCTATCCTGGCTTTTCTTTTGCTGATTATTATACTTTTGCAGGCTGTTATGGCAAGTGATTTTTCTATTGCCCAGTTCCGTTTTCTTGAAAGATTGCTCGTCGTTCATGGACACTGGTGCTACAAAAGAATAGCTCAAATGGTAGATGTGTTTACAAGATGCCTTCTAATTCCAATGCATCCTATTTTACTCTTTTCCACGTTTTTGGTTTCTAACATATATTGTTCTGCATCCAGATCTGCTATTTCTTTTACAAGAACATAGCATTTGGTCTCACTCTCTTCTATTTTGAGGCTTTCACCGGGTTTTCTGGGCAATCAGTATATAATGACTACTACCTATTACTCTTCAACGTCGTCCTTACTTCATTGCCTGTGATTGCCCTTGGAGTCTTTGAACAAGATGTTTCCTCTGAGATCTGTTTACAGGTAAAGCTGCTGTGAGAATTCAAACTTAAAAACTTCAATGAATTTCTCACTCGCCACCAAATAACTCTTTCTTTTGTTCTGCAGTTTCCTGCGTTGTACCAACAAGGGACGAAAAATCTCTTCTTTGACTGGTATAGAATACTTGGGTGGATGGGAAATGGTGTGTACTCCTCCCTTGTAATATTCTTCCTCAACATTGGAATCATTTATGAGCAATCTTTCAGAGTCAGTGGCCAAACTGCTGACATGGATGCTGTTGGTACTACCATGTTTACCTGCATTATTTGGGCTGTGAATGTGCAAATCGCTTTGACGGTGAGTCACTTCACTTGGATCCAACACGTCTTGATCTGGGGAAGCATTGGTTTATGGTATCTGTTTGTTGCGCTCTACGGGATGATGCCTCCAAGTCTTTCAGGCAACATCTATAAAATTCTGGTTGAGATACTTGCTCCTGCACCCATATATTGGATGGCCACATTTTTGGTCACAGTGACTACAGTCCTCCCTTACTTTGCCCACATATCTTTCCAAAGATGCTTAAATCCGTTGGATCATCACATCATTCAAGAGATAAAATACTACAAGAGAGATGTGGAGGATAGAAGAATGTGGACACGGGAGCGTACAAAAGCACGGGAGAAGACAAAGATTGGATTCACAGCTAGAGTTGATGCGAAAATCAGACACCTACGGTCAAAGCTCAACAAGAAACAGTCAAATATGTCACAATTGTCAGCTCAAGATACAATGTCCCCAAGATCAGTATAGCTTCTGGGGCTTCCTCAGTATCAGGTTCGTGGATGGGGGTAGGCTGTGGATTTTGATTTCAGGTCTAGATGCTGTTGTGTGTGTATGAGAACATGGAAGAAAGTAAAAAAATAGTGTGAGCTGGTGAAAGTAGCTGACTGACGTTTGGGGTTCTTTTTGTTGTATCAGAAACAGAACTATACAAAGATTTTTGTGTATACTTAGGACAGATTGCAACACCAAAAAATGTATCCTCCTTTTGTACATCTGTCGAAAAGTTGTTTGTGACAGACAAAACATAATTTTTCTCATGGTTGTTGATTTAGAGAATGTTTGATACAAGAAAACATATTTGATCTTCTGGATTTATATTGTGATTCATACAACAACTAGTTGTTGAAGAAATCCAACAAAAAAAAAAAAAAAAAACAAACTTGCAAACTAGAAGTGCAAAAGCTTGACGATGGAGACAGAAGAATTACTTGTTGGATCGAGCGGTGTTTGTTTTTTTAGAAGATTCTACTCCAGTTTTGCGACCCTCGAGTAACTTCATGGTCTCACCGATCCCTACCCTGTCTTCACCAGACAACATTTTCGTAAGCTTCTCCTCTGTGAAATCACCCTTCTTCGTCAATCGACCCTAGAGAAACACAACAAGTCAAATTCATTACTCTTTAAGAGGAATTTCATCGAACAGGTGGTGGACTGTTTCAAAAAAGCCAAAATTCTTTATTCCGATTAACGATCTTAGAAATCAAAACATAGATTGGGGTGATTTATCTTACCTGGGCAAGTCTGATGTACTTGGAGATCAATAAATCGGATTCCGAGCGACGAATCTTGGGAATACCCAGAAATGATCCTACACCGGAAGATGGAGACACCGGCGCCGAAGATGTGGCTGAGAACTGTTTCTGTTGGAACTTCCTCGCCGCCGCAGTCGCCGTTCTCAAAACCTTTCCCGCTTTGATCGCCATTGACAAACACGACTATGCACTCTCTCTCTCTCTCTCTCTCTCTCCTTGGTAAAACCACCCTACCACTCCTTTTTTTTTTCGGATCAATTTTAACCCCGTAACTTTAATCTGTACCAATTTTTACCCATACTATAAAATCTGAATTTCATAATAACGCAGATAAACGAAAAGAAGATTTTGCTTTGTCTATTAAGATATATAATAATGTAATGAAAATTCTAATATATTCACATAATTGATTTGCCACCTTTGGTTTATTGAACTTCTTGGGGATGGCAAAACTCAAGTATCAGCAAATATACTCAAGTAAAGTATCGAAAGGTCAGTTAAAATGTAAGGGTACTAGAAATTGACCCGCGGTACACCGCGGGGCTATATTTTATTTTTAAAAGTCGAAATTTAAATCTTTTGAAGTTTATCTACAGATATAACCTATATTTTTTAAAAAAATTGTACATATATATCTATATATTATTCAGTGTGAGTGTACGATTAGTATGTTTTAGGTTTCAATTTTTAAAATATAGAAATGAAAACATACAGTTCATTAAGTAACGATGTATGGCGGATTTAAATTTAATTTCTTTTGTTGTTTGCATTTTATTATAATATTTTTAAATAATATAAATAATTTTATATATGTCAATAATGATATTTTTGAGTAAATAAATATTATAACAATGCAGTATGGATGTAATTGTAGCAAGGATAGTTATGGCTAATAAATATATTTTGTAGAGATCTTTTGGCAATGATTGTTTAGGTTAATATCTTTGATTTAATTTTGAAAATCTAAATAATAAATGCCAATGGGATGTCATCGTAAATAGTAGTAAACTCAAGGGCTATGTTTCTTTTTAAAAATTAATTTTTTTTTAAAAAGATTATCTATTGATATAACCTATTGTTTATTAAAAAAAAAATCAACCCGCATGAAACAATATTCTTGAAGAATTTCTATTGTTGATGATATTGTAATGGTCTCATGTGTGCGTAATTTTTTCTACACAAATTTTTGAATTAAGAAATAATTATTTGTTACTGATAAATCGATATTAATTATAATAGGTTTCCAAATATTGAGGGATTTTAAAAAGATTATTTTCTATTTTAAGTTTGTATAATCATATTAAATAATCTGAATTAAATGCGATAATTAAGGGATTTTGTTATAATTAATGGAAATATGAAAAAATCTTGGAATATCTTTCCATTACTCTATTTTTTTTTTGATTTTGTCATTAACCTCTTTTCATTAATATTTTTTTTACATAATAAGAAATTAAAACGGATCAAAACTAACTCTAATTCATAAAATTATTATATAATAAATGTGATCAAATTACATATATATTTTGTTTGTAAAACATTCTTATTGTTGATCCTTGCTTAAGTAGTACACCACATTACTCTTTCTCCAATAATACTTTCACGCTTAAAAAATAAGATCAAATCAAAAGAGGATTGCTATAAACTTCTATTTTCCTTCAAGAAAAAATAAGCAAATTAAATCAAGAACTTATATATATATATATATATATATATATAATTAGTTAAAACTAAAACATACATAGAAAAGAAGTATAAGGAATCACTAAATATAAAATACATTAAATAAAAAAAATAAATATTATATGATGTCATTGTTAGCCATAGAAAACCCCGTAACTGTTAGAAAATATTTTGAGATTAGAAAAATTATACTTACCAACCAAAATCCGTATCCAGAGTTTTGTAAAGGCTTATATCATAAAAACAATGAAAACCAATAACATTAGAATAATTAAAGTTAAGAATTAGAATTTTATTTTATTGAAAATTTATTTTTCTTCCTACCTTAAAGAAAATGAATTAAAAGAGTAAACTTGTTAGCCTACAAAATAAAATCATTAACAAACATCATGAAGAAATTAAACATGAAAATGTAAAAAAAAAAATACTGAACACTAACAAAAATAGTATACATGATGATTAGAAGAAGGACTAACTAACCTTTTATTGCATACCTTCTTTAATAGTTTATAAGAGATGAAGTTGATGATCTCCATAGTTTTCCAAAATTTCGATGAAACTGAAACAAATTTCGATCAAATCAATGGTAGTGATACATCCTCATGATCGTCTTTCATACATACATGCATAAATAGACAAATAATAATATGTTAGAAACGACAAAGCTTCATAAAATTATAAACAATAACAATATAAAGAAATATGAACTAAAAACGAAATTAGAGGTTTGGCGGAATGAATATTTTGATTAGTGGAATAGCATGATCTTATATATATAGTGAAGTAGACCGTGCTGGTTTAGGGTTTTCAAGAGGAATATTCTGTTTATCTTGCTTTAAATGTTTTTAATTATTTACGTTTTAAGAAAATTTTATAGTTAATTCTTTTTGTAAACTTGTCGAAGAATTATTAATACTCAAATCGTAAAGATATTTATGAGAGTATCTTTCTATTGTATATTCATTACTTTTATATATTTATTGTTACGATCTATTTTAAGTAATCTATATTTATGTCAAAGAATAAAAATTAATTTTTTGCTAAACTGATTCGAAATTGATTTTCAAATGATTATTTTTTCCAAAATCTTAACTAAAGATTTGAGCATTAAACGTTTTTAAAGTAATGATATATAGAGTAATGTTTAAAATCGAGATTTACGCAAGATTTTAGGAACAATAGATGAGATAAGGTATGTGATAAGTAATTAGTTTAGATTGTGGAAATATTCGAAATCAATTAGAGATAAAATTTATTACGGTATGATTAATGTGGCTATTAGTTTAGGTAATATTAACAAAATTTATTCTGCGATTTATGATTGGCCAAATAAGGGATTAAAATTAGTACAAACTTCCTAAAATTTTTTATCCAAGATTCGGATAGAGTTAAACCCAGGTAAAACCCGGATCCAATTAATGCAAAAAAACCCTGTAAAAATGTATATGTAGATTGTTATTTTGATTTTAAATTTATTGCAATTTAAATGGGCAATTACCTATATTTAATCCGTTATTGTAAAAGAAAAATGACATAGCTTATTATTAGAATATTAAACAAATTTATTAACATAATATATATATATATATATATATATACTGTTAAAAAAATAAATACGTTTTTTTCTTTATAATTTTATAATATATGTATATATTGTTAAAATCTGGACATTAATTTCGAGCATAAATATGAAAACGATTTTCCATTAAAATCGGCTATTTATTAGGGTCATTAATATGAAAGATATTAAGACAACATGGCTTCATTTATTAGTTTGAAATTAAGACAACATCCCTTAAATTGCTAATCCAAGATCCGAATAGACTAAAACCCGGATCAAACCCGGATCCAAAAGAATTAAAGCAAAAAAGTACTATAAAAATGTATATGTAGATGTTTAGTCAATTTTAAGATGATTTTAATTTGCGTGACGCTCTACTCAAGAGCTACAAACGCCGTCGTTCTTTAAACTTGTGATTTTCCAAGACTTCAAAAAATCTGATTTATAAAAGGAAAGCATCTACATATACATTTTTGCAGGGGTTTTTTTGCTTTAATTCATTTGGATCAGGGTTTTACCCGGTTTTACCTTATTCGGATCTAGAATAAAAAATTTTAGGAATGTTGTAATAAAAAAAAATCGCCAATTATGACTACAATTACTCTAATATTTCGGTTTAATCTTATTTCCTAAAATCTCAAATTATGACATTAATTTTTAGATTTGTTTTATTTAAGTAAAGATATGGAAATGAATTTTGGTCCTCATATATTTGCCTAAAATATCGACGCAATCTTTTCAAAAATCTCAACAATTATTTCTTCTCTACTTATGATACCTAATTGCTACAATCCCAAATTTAAGGAAAACTGGAAACTAATTACGACAATCCATCTAACAAATGGCATATTCCTTACATCTTCTTCCATTTACAATTATACTTTGTACCATATTTAAAGAATATGCCACATTAATCCGGCTCTAAAATCTTCTATTAATTGCAAATTCCATCTTATATTCCTTAATTTACTCGAAAATCTTCTTAATATTCACTATTTATCCAAATATAGCCAATCATTCAATTTTATACCAAATACGAATATATATTGTTCATAATATCTTTAATTTATGCTTTTTTCCAAGATTTTCAAAATTCTGAAAACTAATAATCCTAGCATCCTTATACACTATAAATATCAAAGTCATTCTCATTTCCAAATCATTAAAAAAATGGTTATCTCAAAGGTGTTGTGACGGAGATCATTCACGACGACACATGATGTGGTGCTCCGTTGTATCGTGTAGCTTTCCGTCATCATTTCCGATTCAAGAAGCATAAGCTCTTCCTTGCTGCTGAAGGTGTGTACACCGGTCATTTTGTTGACTATGGGAAGAAAGCCATTGTTATTGCTCATAATCCTAATAACGACACTTACTTTTCTTGGTGATATTCAATTGATTTAATATGTATATATCATGGACCATTTGAATGATTGCGTTAGATTTGATTAGTTCAAATCTTTAGTTCTTAGCAACAAGTTTCAATATTTTCCCGCTGGTCATTGGATTCATATCTAGCTTTGCTGAATTGGATTATGATTTGTGTTTAGTATACTTTACGTTTCAGTTTTCTGATTAAGTATGATTGGATTAGATTGTAGTGAACAACTATTAATATCTATTGTTCTTTCTTTTGATGAGGGAATTGTTCTCACAGTTATGAATTTACACATGTTTATGATAGGATGAAGTTGCCCTCAGGTTTGAAAAAGATTGTGCCAAGTGGATGCATGACCATGATTGGTCAAGTTGCAGGTGGTGGAAGAACTGAGAAGCCGATGCTAAATGCTGGTAACACATACCACAAGTACCGTGTGAAGAGAAACATGATTCGGTTCTTATTTATCTAGGTTCTTCCTAGGTTCGAACAAAGTGATGCAGGTTGCTCTTGGTCGTGCTGCTTCTGATGAATTCCGTTCTGGTATCTACAAGTCTCCAAGGTTCGTGTACTCTGCTTCTTACAATGGTTCTTTTATGTTAAACGCTTTGTGAACAGAACTTATGCATTCTCTATATTTTGTTGTTGCTAGATCAACAAACAAGCTTGACTATGATCATCCAAATTCTGTTTGATGAATGCTTAGCCAAGTTCCAATAATTGATGGAATTTATCTTGAGGCTTATCTACCACCAAAGAAGGTATATTTGCTTTATGGATGCTTTGTTCTTTGGCGTGTGTTACATCCTACTGATGCATTTTTTTTTAGAGATTTTTCTCTGAAAAAAAAGAAACAGATGAAAGATCTGATCTTTTGGTTTTGTGCCTTTTGTGGTTGCTTATTCATATTCCTTTCTTGAGTAACATAAACATATTTTTCCTTGGCAAGTTACTTCAGCGAGAAAGATATTCACAGAGCACACGTAACAAGCCTTCACATGATCACTCAGAGACTGAGCTAAGCAATGCTCACGGCGAGGTGATTGAACAAGGCTTCAAGCTGGAATGGTTGAAGTTAAAGCTTGATGAGGTTTCCTTAAGGAGGAAGAAATTAGATGTTGATGTCCTACAACTCGATGAACGTGTTAAGAATATTGAGCTGATGAGATTGTACTTCAAGCTGGATTGTTTGAAGACAAATCTTGAGGAGGTGTCCTTGGAGAGGAAGAAATCTGACGATGCTTGATGTCTCGGATCCAACAACTCGAGGAATGCTTCAAGAACCTTGAGATGATTGTGTTGGATCTCAAAGTTAAATTGGACAAGGAGGAGGCCAAATCTTCTGCTGATGATTTTTTGTTGATCAATGAGGTTGATTGACGTAGAGATTCTAATAGTCAAAATTAGTCTTTATCAAAAGACCTGCTTAATGCTTATGTTGATGGTTTTATGCTTTATTTTTCCCTGCTCCACTTTTGGATATTTTTCTTCAATCATATTTTTTGTTTTTGTGGTAAGATTCAATCCAAAAATTAATGAGCAAATCAATTCGTTTTTCATTACTCTTAAGCTTATAATCTTACCAATTAGAATTATTTAAACTTATAATCTTACCAATTAGTACTAATATCATCAAATAAATACAAAACACTTTATCTTCTAACAATACACACATTTAACACTTATATTTCCTTTGCACTAAATATAAATTCATAAATACTATAAATTTTATTAGGCCAAAACTCAATATATTCAAATGAAATTAAATATAATATATTATGTGTGTAATTTTATAAAATTATTAATATGAAAATATATTGAGTACAAGTGAGTGATATATTTAAAATTGTTTATAACTCTTTTTTTACTAAAATGATATTGAAATTCACTAATTCTACCATTTATAGATATATACAACTTCTATATAATATATACATTTAAATTAATAAAAAATACATATATGTCAACTAAAATATTGAAATTAATAATTCAACAAAAAATTTCAAATATTATATATGTCCGCGGTGTACCGCGGGTTAACATCTAGTATAAGAAACAAATTTAATACGATCCTTTCCAAACCACACAAGACATTTTATGTTTTGACTAAATTACTCAACTATCTATTTTTTATGATAAATGAAAGAAAGTTAGTGTTATTTTTTGTCCAAACAGTTGGTAATGTATCATTAAAAACAAAGGAACAAGAGAATGCAAGCTAATAGCTATTAGTACTATATACCAAAAACGAAGAGTGTCTGATGTTGATGATGAAACTCCAAAGATTCTGTGCTGCTTCTTTTGTTCCATTAACCTCCTCAATTTAAGTACATAATCTTTCCCTGACTACCTGCAATTGAACAAATCTCAAACAAATCAGACACCAAAAATCCCAAAAAAGACTTCGAGACTGATAATACTGTCATGTTAAAAAATTTATTTACATTCTTCGTGCATCTCTCTCGCTATCACTAGCATATCATCAGCAACTTCTGCCAGTTTTATCAATCTGTATATCTCTTCTGAAGCTCCTTTCGACACATCTAATTTGTTCTCCACTTCCACGAGCTTATAAGCTGCTGTTATTGAAGCTTCAGCAACCATCTGCTGTGAAATAGAGGGTCCTTGACTGTTTGTCTGCTGCCGGGCTTTCGTGTTGCTCTCTTTTGGTCTCGCTACATGTGTTGTTCTTGTTACCAAGCTATTATCATTCATCGTATAGAAGTTCTGTGTCTGTTGTGTGTATTGTTGCATTGTTGAAGGAACAAAACATTTAAGAAAAAAAAAAAGCAGGAATGAGGAAACAACACAGACCAAGAAAGGTTTCGCACTTGTTCAAGCAAGGCTTTCAACACTTACTGATTTTAAGTGGCTAACCTTTTCAAGTTTTCCCTGAGCAGCAAGCCTCCTCAATCTTGAACTAAGGATCCTTCTGAAATTTGGTGGCACTTCATGTCGTTGCTGCTATACACATACCAGACCATTGTCATGAACTTGATCATTACTTACAGGTTAGCTGCTAAGACAATAATAACGGACACTGAACCCAATAGAGCTATGGTAAGTTTTAAAGATAATCATAGTGGACTTCTATGCAATAACTAGGATCAATCTCTAACAGCAAAGAATAGTTGAATAGTATAAAGTTTTACATTGGGACCTCTAACTTAGATGAATAGAGATTTTCAAGTAGTTTAAATCTTTTGATAAGAAAAAGTAGCTAAAACTAAATGTTCATTCTCATCTTTAAATGGTACAATGATTGGGTAGTTTGTTCAGAATCAAAGATAAGCTTTGTGTTTATACTGCTCATTAAATTAGTTTGACTACAGAGTAGATAAGTATTTCAGTGATGACACATGCATGATAAAGAGCACGGAAAAATATGTCTAACCTCGATGAAGTTGAAAATTGCACTGACATCAGATCCATTAGCATCCGTCAAGGCTGAAAGAGCTTCAAATATCATTCCATCATACCTTAATAAAACAATGGCTCATCAGAAGCGTAACAATTGCAAGCAGCTTACAGCAATTATGAACGGACACAGGATTAATAGTGGCTCGGAGGAGAAGAAGAAAAAGAAAACAAACCTGGGAGCATTCTTTGGATCAACTACAATGTTAAAACTATCATCAATGCTCAAATCAGAAGATCCACTACGGGGAAGAACAGCAACTGGAGAAGAGTGGGCACTATGAGGAGGAGTCAAGATAGCGGCAGCCGCAGCGGAAGCCAGATGAAAAGCAGCAGCTTTGATTTTTGGTGTCCGTATCTTATCCTTAGAGCCTTGAATACCAGGGGCAACACTTAAATTACGCCACTTATCCTAGAAAATATGACATATAAGATGATTAAGAATCTTGTTTTGTAGGTAACCAATACTGGAGACAGTGCTAATTTCCAAAACTCCAATAGGTGAAATAAATGCTGCTGACAGTGCTAATTTTCCACCTCAAAGTTCAGACTCAACAATACTTGCTGTAGGTTTGATAATTTGTGTTCCATTCTCGATTTTCAAAGAAATCCTACGACATAGGAGACAAAAAGCATCGTAGGCAAGGATCAAGTAAAATTTGTTCTCCTAAAACCAGAACAGAATAAAAGGGGATACCGATCACCTGTTTTAAACCTAAAGTAACAGCTTTTCGTGGTGTAACTGTATTGCAGCATTACTTGCATTTGATAAAACAAAGAACAGATCTTGTAATAACTGTCTAAGCTAGTGTCATACTATGATATTAAGAACTTTCTCAGGTGAAAAGTACAGAAGAAACAGAGAAGACCACTTGAGTCCAAAATCCACTATAAAGGAACACACTCAATTCGCGTATCCGTAGCATCGAAAGAAGATGATCCCAATCATAAACTTTTGAATCGAACCCAAAAAGTCCTCAGCTAAATTCAATTAACAAATTTTTCATTTCCCTTTTGCCTTGAGCTTGATAATTAGGGTTTCCCAAGAGCAGTTAAAAGAGGTAATCAATTAAGAAGAAGATAATAAAAACCTTGAGGTCGATGTTAGAGCGACTAGAGAGCTGCTCAGCGAATTCAGGATCGCGGAGAATATTCTTCCACTTTCCGGGGCCATGCTTCCCAACTCCGGCGAGTAAAGCCTCCTCTTCCTCCGCCGTCCATTTAAGCTTCTGGTTTCCCATCTCTACGCTTCTGTTTTCGCCTCTTCGCTCCGTTACTTTGTTTAGCTTCGTCGTTTTTGTATATCACAATCGGTGACAAAGAACGTCTCGCCGCCGATTCTTCGGCCGGGCTTGTCCCCCAAAAACTATTGCTTCTTTTTTTAATTCCAAATCCAAATAAAATCTTTTTTTTTTTTTTTCTTTACATGTGAAGAAATCGATCTACAAAGTGGATGGATGTTATGGTCCTTACCAAAAAAAAAAAAAAGTGGATGTTATGGTGGGATTTACATTTTAAGAAACATATAAGTAATAAAACTTTGAAAACTATAGGGTCTAAAATGGAGAAAACGTAAAATCGGGAAAGATTTTGGGTTAAATGATTATAAATAAAAACATAAGGGGTCAAATTCGAATTAGCCACAAAATCTTACTTACCCTAAAAATTTCGCCTTTCTAATTCTGCACCACATCGTCGTCATAAGCTTTTCTCTCACTCCGGCGTCTCTTTCTCCGTCGCCACCATTCCTAAAACCTCTCCCGTCTTCCTCTAATGGCGATCAATCATAGCCCCGATAACGAATCCAACGAAAACACGCGTCTTTATCATCCTTACCAAAACTACCAGGTCCCGATCAAAGCTCAGTATCTATACAAGCTTCCGACTTCTCCGGAATTTCTCTTCACGGAAGAGTCTCTCAAACAGCGTCGATCATGGGGAGAAAATCTCACTTTCTACACAGGAACGGGTTATCTCGGCGGCTCTGTAGCCGGCGCTGCAGCTGGGATCGTCTCCGGTATCAAGAGTTTTGAAAATGGAGACACGACGAAGCTGAAAATCAATAGGATTTTGAATTCGTCTGGTCAGGCAGGTCGCACTTGGGGTAATAGGATTGGGATTGTTGGGTTGATCTACGCAGGGATTGAGAGTGGTGTTGTGGCGGTAACTGATAAGGACGATGTTTGGACCAGTGTGGTGGCTGGTCTTGGAACCGGAGCGGTCTTTAGGGCAGCACGAGGAGTGAGATCTGCGGCTGTGGCGGGTGCTTTTGGCGGAATTGCGGCTGGTGCGGTTGTGGCGGGGAAGCAGGTTTTCAAGCGGTATGCTCACATATGAAGAACCGGAGTGCCACCTATATGGGAAAATCATAAAAATTAGAGCTTTGTTTGGGGTTTCTAGGGTAGAATTCTGGTTTACCTTTTAGCATGAATTAACCTGCGAACCTTTATTTATATAGATATAATAATAATAATAAAGGTTTTACCTTTTGGTATTCGAATCTCCATGAGTTCTTGTTTATGATTATGCTAGCTTTTGTTATACTTATATGTTTGTGCCTATTTTTCACTTGTCTATAAAGCGTGTATGTTCTGGTTGTTATCAGAATGACTCAGAGATGAAATGGCTTTCAATCTCATTTCCTCATCTTTTATCATTTTGTAGTTTAGACTGTTCACACTATGTGATTGTTCGGCTATGTTGAGGGCTCATTTGTTAATAGTTGGCTATCTAATCTCTGATGGTATTTCTAAGTTTTTTTAAAGCTCTTGGCTTTTCTAGCTGGGACTTCTTTATTGTCTGTGATTATTCATTGATCTGGAATGTGTTAATATCACACTTGATCCCTAGTTGTACTCATTTTTTTACCTTTCCAGACTTTCTCTTGAAGCTTTTTTGTCTCGTCTCTGGAATGTCTCCAGGTAACGACTTAAAACAAAATGTTTCATGATGTAATGTGGATCTGTTGTGAACAAAATGTCTAAGCGCGTATAGTCCCAAATTGACAAAATGCCCTGTCAGCTAACATTTCTGGTGCAGCTCCGAGAGGTATTCCTTTAATTCTGGTTTTAGGAAGATTTTTTTTGTGTGTGACTGCTTGCATCTTCTTTGGAACTAATGCTGTCAAACAATTTTTTTTCCAGAGAAGACTATACTCTCAAATTTCAGTGTGTAGTTGTTTAGAAAAGCTTTTTATATGCTACAGATGCAATGCTCTAGTGCAAAGTGACTAGGTGAGTTGATTTTGCAAGGAAGATACAAATCTTCTATAATAAATGTGTTTCTTTTCATGAGACCAAAAAATAAAGTGTTTGATAAACAAGATAAGAACTCCGACACTATGGAAGTTCAACATTGAACTTTGGGTGGAGTACAAATCATGAAAGACTGACAACAACTTCGCTTGCATTGGCTTGTTTATGATCATGTAAATCACCTTCTTCTGGTGGGCATGGGATGGCATCGGATGCTTAAACTGAACAAGTGCTTCGCGGATCTCAGAGATAGCCAATGTCGCTTCACTTTGATCTACGTCGACGTTCCAATCTTTCTGTCAAAAGGATTTTCCCAAGCATCATCTGTCTACATGATTGAAATAGAGGACTCAGGAATCAAAGAAGTTTATTAATTTTATTCCTTTTCCAGGTGAAGATTAGAAATGTGTTATTGTAGGTTCTAAGAAACCAACCTGAGAGGAAGATATTGGGGAAAGAGGAACCGAATTTTGAGCACGTGACACATGAAATGTTTTATCGGAGTTATGTACTTCATGATTCTCTGTTGCAAACTCTCTTAGCTTGCTCAGTGCAGGCAACAGAACGGAAGCAAGATCAGGTCTGTCCTTTTTCCGCAGCTCGCAGCACTGCAAAGCCAATTGAGCTAGCACCAGAGTCTCTTCTTCAGGCCAGTCTGATATTTTTGGATCCAAAACTTCTCGGAATGTCTTCTTCTCAATTGATTTCTCTACTCTATGGCTTAAACCCATTGCTGGCATCGCTGTGATGATTTGCAGAAGCACCACACCAAATGAGTACAAGTCAGACTTCACCCCAAGCATTCCCGTTTGCTGGTACTCGGGGTCGATGTAACAAAATGTACCTGTTTCAGCAATTGGGTCCATGTTAGGACTTTAAAAGGAGATGGAAAGATTAGATTTGTTGTTTTAAGGTAAAATGAAAGTATTACCGGCCGCAGCAGTCATGTGATAATTGGAGAAGCTATCAGCAACAGTGGGAGGTACCAACCGAGCTAAACCAACGTCACTGATTTTGCTAATTAAATATCTGTCTAGCAGAATGTTTGCTGGCTTCAGATCTCGATGTACTAGTGGCTCGGGTTTGGCCTGATGAAGGAAAAGAAGTCCTGTAGCAATCTCAGCAGCGATTCTGAACCGTGCTCTCCAAGATAATGGTGGAGTATTATCTTTGCAGAAGAGACGATCTTCTAGTGTTCCATTTTCCATGTACTCATACACAAGGCAGCCATATTCGGGACAAGCACCGAGGAGGATTACCATGTTAGGGTGCCTCATGCAACTTAGAACCTCGATCTAGTGAGGAGAAACATATGTTAAGTAGTATGGAGAAGACATGCAATATATTAGGATAGTGTCAGATTATATTATTACCTCTTGGTTAAACTGCTTCAGGCCTTGTGAGACATCTGACTTCAAGATTTTGATGGCAACAGAAGTGTTTTCAAGAACGGCTTTATACACAGGTCCATACCCTCCTTCCCCAATCTTTAGAGCATCTGAAAAACCGTCGGTAGCACCTTCAACATCTCTGATGCTATATCGTCTGTAGGATATACTATCGGCCATGTTCTGTTCCTTGAACTTGGCTTGCATCTCCACAAGTCGTCTCTTCTGGGTCTCTATTTCCGCTAGACGTTGTGCCATTTCAGTTGCTTGGATCGCACTCTGTGTTTTTTGCTTATCCATCTCGGACAATGCCCTAAGCATCTCTCTTGCTGCCTTTGCTTCCTCCAGCTTTTCAGTTTCGGCGGTAGCTCTAGGTCCTTGAAGATGAGGGGCCTACAAGAATTTATTAAATGTTTGATCTTAGTCAACATCTTTGGGACCTGTTCAAGGAAACATTCTCCGTTGTCCTCATGGAAGTAAGTATCTTACACTTTCTCTGCATATGGAAGCATTAAACTGGTGCAATTCGAGTCTCAATCTTCTCACTTCTGCTTCAAGATTTTGATTCTGATCATATTCATGCACAATGAACACAAACATCTCAGAATCATGCAGTTGACACTCTGCATTACCGAAACACCATATCTACTTTTCTGAAATATTAATTTACCTGGTGTTCAGTGATGTTGCCCCCTGATAAGCTTTCTTCTCCATCAGTCATTTCAGACTACAGATTCGACAGAAAATGTCAAAACGCCAGGAAAATTGGAGGCAAGAAGAATGTTGATTTGAAACGTGATGAGAATACTACTAACCATGGAAGAGTGTGAGCTTCCTCCATATGTGGATCGTCCTAGGATGCTGTAGAAACTAGCATTTGATTCAGCACTGTGACCACTGGGAGATTCATTGCTAAGCTCTGACATGGAACTCCTATTGAAAGATTGCTTGTAATGAGGTGTAGGTGGAGATAATTCTCCGTTTAATGCAGGAGGTGACCTGCGAGATTGGAAAACCCAATGATTCCTATGAAGCAAAAAAATGCATTCATTCACATGACAGAACCGGATGAAAACTTGTGTTAATTAATTACCTTCCGGATTCGCTGGAAGTGGAACTTGTTGGGCCAGGATCAGACATCATTACGGGATGCTTTAAAGGATGAGGAGCGTGTTGAGGACCTTGCGGTGTAAGAGGACCTTGCGATGTATGAGGGCCTTGCGGTGTCTGAGGACCTTGAGGTGTCTGAGGCCGACTCGCTGATCTGCTTGTTAAGAGCTTTCCTTTAGACACAATGAAGACAGCACATGTATCTGGGGTTGTTTTAAGCAGAGTTGTTGGCACATCTGCGCTCTTAAACTTCCTAATTAAGACCATAACAGAGGGTTTTAGGTTTCAGCATTCATTGAACCAAAGTTTGAGATTACAGTTAAGGTTATATGAGAGAAAGAAAGAGACTTGAGGAAAGAATTTCGTGCAGAGGCTCCAAGGACTAAATTTGAAATGGAATTGTTGGTGATGTAGTCAACAATTGCACTGGAGATGTCAATATCGTGAAGAAGAATCTCCGTTGCTATAATCTGATAGAACATATATAATGAGGTCAGTCAGAGCTATGTATATATGTGATTGTTGTAAGGAGAAAGAGAGGTTGATCTCTGACCCCTTTCCGAGCACAGAATCCTCTAAAGGGAAGGAAGAACTGATGAGCCTCTTCTTGGTTGTCATGTGGAGCTTCTGTGTTTTCTCCTGCCCCAATTCCTGTTTCAAGAGTTTTCATTAGATTGATGGACTGATAACGATGGTAATGATAGAGATGACGATGCCATTACTCAATTTGGTTTGAACATGGAGAAGGATACAGTTTGGAGAATCGATGATGATGTTCTCAACAGCCCATTTCAAAGCGTGTTGGCTGTTCTTATCCTTATCAATGGCTATGGCGGTAACTGCTTTACTGTCTTTTCCTTTTAGTCTTCTTGTAGCCATCTTTCTCAGCCCTCGAGATGATTGCTGGACACTTTGCTTCTCGGGAAACTAGAAAGACATTGTGGCCTTTTACCCTCACAAGGAGGAAATAAGGAGACCGAATGATAAAGGAAAATGGTAAAAAGAAATTAAGAAGAATAAGAGAGGAGAGAAAAACAGATTTGAACTGTTTTGTTTGTTGCCAAGATTTAAACTTATAATGGTTTTGGCACTTTGCTAAAATTAGAAGTTTTTTCCCCAACAATCTAACAGTTTTCTTAATGAACAGAGAGACAGACAAAAAGAGGACATTTTAATTTTAGTTGACGACTTATCTTTACGAAGTTTTTTTTTTTTTTAAAAAAAAAGGAAATTCCATCTCATATCTTGTAGATTGTAATTAGAACAAGTATTTTTGTGTAATGGCAACTTATATTAATATATGTAAACTAGATAAACTTGGAATTATATAGGCAGTCTTGATCTTTTAGAAGAAAGAAGAAGACCACGTACGAGAAATCCAAGAGTTGAAATTAGTTTTATAATTTGATTGGACCAACGTGCTAAATATCTTGGGGTTCGTCAGTACCTCAAAATTTTGTGATGATCCGTACATTTGTGTATACATGTCATGCCATGCATGTGTGAAGTTTTCTTTTTTTTCAGATCAAATGGAAGTGAATCATATATAAGAGATATTTTTAGTACCCCGGTCTCATAATATCAAGGTCGGTAAGAACTTGGGATTCATGGAAAGCTTTTAAGAGTTTACCTTTCTATTTGGATAAACCACTAGATTCAGGTAACCTGTTTGGTTTTGAAAGGGCAAAATGGTTCAATTTTCAAGGCTTTTGTCTTTTGTGTGTGATTCATGTCGCTGATGAGGAGGATCTTTGATATTTCAAAAAAACCATATACTATATAATAGCTTATGAAATATGTTTCAGAGGAGAAAACATTTTCTATCTTTTCTAATGATTTTGGTATGTGTCCAAGCATCGGTAAAAAAGTGACGTGACTGTAAGAAGCGAGGGGTTTAATAGTTGTTTGCCAGATGTAATGGAAGTGGATCATGGGCGAGTTGTTGCTACGGCGATTTTCCTGAATGATGAGGTTCCCACAACAGAAGTACTTATTACTACAAGTCATGATAATGTAGCAAGAGGAAGGAGGAGGAGTGTCTATGAGCTAGAGTGTATACCTCTTTGGGGCACAGTGTCAATCTGCGGTGAAAGGTCTGAAATGGAGGATGCTGTTAGAGCATTACCTCATTTTCTCAAAATACCTATCAGAATGCTTATGGGGGATCATGAAGGGATTACTCCAACCGTCACATGTCTTACTAGTCACTTCTTCGGTGTATATGATGGCCACAGAGGCGCTCAGGTTCTTAAATATTCATATTGATATTACTTACCAATAGAGAGTTTGTCCAGAAGCTATGTGTTAATATATGATGAGGGTTTTGCTGGAAACAGGGTACTCTGTTATATATGATGGCGATTCTTTGCAGGTTGCTGACTATTGCCATGCTAGAATCCATTTTGCTTTGGTTGAACGGATAAAAGAGGAATTGTGCAAGAGGAACACTGGTGAGTATAGTAGGCAGGTCCAGTGGGAGAAAGTCTTTGTAGATTGTTACCTAAAGGTCGATGATGAGGTCAAAGGGAGAATCAGCAGACCTGTTTCTGGTTCTGGTTCTTCTGATAGGATGGTTCTTCAGGCTGTTTCCCCTGAGACCGTCGGATCAACTGCTGTTGTTGCTTTGGTTTGCTCATCACATATCATAGTTTCCAACTGTGGTGATTCAAGAGTGGTTTTACTCCGCGGCAAAGAATCCATGCCTTTATCCGTTGATCACAAAGTAAAACATCTGAGATAGTTTCTTACTTCTCATTCATACAATGATAATGAAGTTTCTTACCTTTTTTTTTTTGTTTTGGAAGCCTGATAGAGAGGATGAGTATGCAAGAATAGAGAAAGCTGGAGGGAAAGTTATACAATGGCAAGGCGCTCGTGTTTCTGGCGTTCTCGCAATGTCTAGGTCCATCGGTAGGTCGAAATTGCAGATTTTCTTCAATCCTGTTCAGTGACAGAAATCTTATGAGAGTTCTATATATGTCAGATTGTTCAATAAAATTATCTAGAGATGATTACTACCTGTTACGGTCTTTGCAACGTGGTTAGATCCATTTCAATCTATTTTATTTGTTTGTATTCAGGTGATGAATACCTGGAGCCATATGTAATACCAGTTCCTGAAGTGACGTTTATGCCACGAGCTAGAGAAGACGAGTGTCTTATATTGGCCAGTGATGGACTTTGGGACGTAATGAGTAACCAAGAAGCTTGCGAGTTAGCTAGGAAACGGATCTTGATGTGGCACAAGAAGAATGGATCTTTGCCTTTAGCTGAGAGAGGTGTAGGGGAAGACCATGCATGCCAAGCCGCAGCTGCTTATCTCTCGAAACTCGCTCTTCGAAAGGGAAGCAAAGACAATGTCTCGATCATAGTGGTCGACTTGAAAGCTCAGAGAAAGTTCAAGACCAGATCTTGAAACAAGTGGACGCTAGAGCTAGCTCTTACAACTTTAAAAAAGACTTAGGAACGATTGAAGAGATAAAAAGCCTTTCCTCTGCAGCAATGGAACGACTCCGGTAGAAAAACAAACATTATACCATAAGCTTAAATTGCCTCAGATTTCTCATGTTTCAAAACTTCATCTAGTAACACAAGAGTTTAACTAGAGACTTTGTTTTGTATCAGTAAGTAAACTATCTTAGCTTTTTTCTTCCTTTATCTCTTTGCAATTCTCCCAAAATTCTTGCTGCAATCTTAAACATCAGCAGCAAATTTTCTTAACAGTCGCAACTTTTCTCAGGAAACAATATGATCCTTTCAAAAATATATATGTACCTTTTTTTTTTTTTAATATATATACCAAGTCATGATCCAATTTAGTTCGGTTACCAAATCCATTCTGATTCCAATGTGGCGTACTGGCGTGGCGTCTATTGTTCTTTAAATTTTTAGGATATTATATATGAATGAATGAAACCTCACTTATCCATGTGTGACTCATCTAATATTCATTTGTTATCCATCAACAAGATAATTACACTATTTTTGGAAACTATCAAACCTCTTTACTTCAACAAACCGTACTCAAAAGTTTCTTATTTTGACTTATGTGTTTTGGATGGTTATCTGGTTCTCGCAAAAAGCTTATTCAAGTTTGAGTACTTGAATCTTATCTATGTTAACAACGTTATGAGAGCACATAAATTATATATCACATATCAAGAATTCCCACATTTATATTATGGTCACCCTATACACAACGATACAACATAATTATTTTGTTTGTTTAATAATATTAATCATACTTCTCTCCTTTTTTTATTGGTCACACATAATAAAAGTAATAATAAGATTGATACAAAACATCAATTTTTGTGGAACAAGAAAAAAACGCAAAACATCAATCTTTTTGGAACGGAGGGAATATGATTTAATCTACGGATTTTAAACCGCACATGAATAACTAATCCGATAACCAAATCAAAGAAGAAATAAACTGATTTGGTTTCGATTTCCAATATTCAAAACTAACTGTTACCAAAACAAAACAAAACCAATTAGAACCACAAATTTCTTTTCAAAATCTTATGAAACAAAATTATATTTTGCTAAAAAAACAAATTTAAAATCGTTTTTAAACACTACATGTGTCATGTGGTCACACAACTTTCTTTGAAAGAAAAACAAATGCTTTTATTTTCACCTAAATGCACTCGAAGAATAAAATCTAAAGATTGAAAGAATTTTTGTTGTTTCATAAGTAAATTTATCTTTTTTATTTTTGAAAATTAATTTCTATTTATCTTTGTACATGGAAGAGACGTACTATTGTCATCAAATATGAAGAGAGGCTCACTCAACCTCAACAATAAATATGAAAATTGATCCACACATAGTGCTACAGAACTTATATAAAAAAAAACTAGCTGTATGTAATTAGAAGAAGTCTTATAGAATAAACAGAAGACTTGACCTTAAAGAGGAAAGGACACGCGTCATCTTGCCATTATTGAATAGATAAAAGAAAGATTTAAATTAATTAATTTTATAATTGATTGGATCAACGTGTTAATAATTAAGGTCGTTGTCACATAGAGTTTTTTTTTTTTGAAATAATTGTTCTGTTTACCTTTTTATTTTGGGTAAAAATTCCATTAGATCCAGGAGAATCCATGTTTCGTTTTGGAAAGATAAAGATAAAGGCTTCAACTTTTTAGGGTTTTTTTCCTGTGTGTGTGTCATTCATGTTAGTGATTGAAATCAATCAATTCTCTCTGTTTGTTGTCCTTGCTCTTCAATTTCACCTGACTTTTGTTTTTGGATAAAGTTTTGAGCTTTGTGTCTTCTCTCTACTCTCTTGTGATCTCTCTGGAAATTACAAAAAAAAGGCTGAATATTTTTTGGGGGTTTCTAAATTAGGGTTCGTGTGAGTTTATTGATGAAGATCAAGAGTTATAGAGGATCGTAAGAGTGATCAAAATCCCACGAATTCACAAAGGATCCGTCGCATAGATCCGTCAGATCTGTTCACCGGAGGTACGTACTTCTTCTTGATTCACTACTCTCTGGATTATTTTGTGAGAATAAACGACGGGTGGGTCTCTGTTGGAAGCTGAGTTGGATGTAGAGATCATCAGACCATGGCTTAGAGAAGAATATGAAGATTATTGTATCGTTTTGCTCCAGTTAAGGTGTAGAAGCAGCATATCAACTCATGGACGAGATTTCACCGGCAGTTGCACTGACTTTGAGTTTAGCTAATACGATGTGTGACTCTGGTATCTCATCCACTTTAGATATCTCCGAGCTGGAGAATGTTACTGATGCAGCTGACATGTTGTCTAATCAGAAAAGACAAAGATATAGCAATGGAGTGGTTGATTGTATGATGGGAGATGTTTCAGAAGAACCAGAAGAGAAAACTTTATCTCAAGTGAGAAGCTTGTCTTCCGATTTTAGTGTAACTGTCCAAGAATCAGAAGAAGATGAGCCATTAGTATCTGATGCGACTATTATAAGCGAGGGTTTAATTGTTGTGGACGCTAGGTCTGAGATAAGTTTGCCAGATACAGTTGAAACAGATAACGGTCGAGTTCTTGCTACCGCGATCATCCTAAACGAGACAACCATAGAACAGGTTCCCACTGCAGAAGTTCTTATTACGAGTCTGAATCACGATGTGAATATGGAGGTGGCAACTTCTGAGGTAGTTATTAGGTTGCCTGAAGAAAATCCTAATGTAGCAAGAGGAAGCAGAAGTGTCTATGAACTAGAGTGTATACCTCTTTGGGGCACGATTTCGATTTGCGGTGGAAGATCTGAAATGGAGGATGCTGTTAGAGCTTTACCTCATTTTCTCAAAATACCCATCAAAATGCTTATGGGGGATCATGAAGGGATGAGTCCAAGTCTCCCATATCTCACTAGTCACTTCTTTGGTGTATATGATGGCCACGGAGGCGCTCAGGTATGCTGTAGTTCTCAAATCCTTATATTTATTTTAGCAATAGAGAGTTAATTCACCTATGAACCCGGAAGAAAAATGAGTTTATGTTTTGCTGCCATAGGTTGTATGTATATATGATAAGGGTTTACTGGAAACCGGACTCTTTGCAGGTTGTTATGTAATATATGATGGCTTTGGTGGAAATGGGATTCTTGCAGGTTGCTGACTATTGCCATGATAGAATCCACTCTGCTTTGGCTGAAGAAATCGAACGGATTAAAGAGGAATTGTGTAGGAGGAACACTGGCGAGGGTAGGCATGTCCAGTGGGAGAAAGTCTTTGTAGATTGTTACCTAAAGGTCGATGATGAGGTTAAAGGGAAAATCAACAGACCTGTTGTTGGTTCTTCTGATAGGATGGTTCTTGAAGCTGTTTCCCCTGAAACCGTCGGATCAACTGCTGTGGTTGCTTTGGTTTGTTCATCGCATATAATAGTCTCAAACTGTGGTGACTCTAGAGCAGTTTTACTCCGAGGCAAAGACTCTATGCCTTTATCAGTTGATCACAAAGTAAAAAATCTTCTCTTTCCCTCAATAATAATTTAACACAATCTGAGAAAGTTCCTTACTTCTCATTCATGCAATTTCTTCTTCTCATGCATGCAATCTTCTCATTCATGCGAGTTCCGTACTTCTCATTCATGCAATTTTTTCAATTTCTTACCCTCTCTCTGCAGCCAGATAGAGAGGATGAGTATGCAAGAATAGAAAAAGCTGGAGGAAAAGTTATACAATGGCAAGGCGCTCGTGTTTCTGGCGTTCTTGCCATGTCCAGGTCCATCGGTAGGTCAAACTTGCACTATTGTTTCAATCTAGCACAGTGACAGAAATCTTAAGAGAGTTTTATAGTCAAAATTATCGATAAATTGAACATTCAGTAACCTTATTTAGTGTTGAGGATCATTACTACCTGTTACAGTCTCTGCAAAATCATTAGATCTCCTGAAAGTGGGTTTTAATCTGTTTTCAGGTGATGAATATCTGGAGCCATATGTAATACCAGATCCCGAAGTGACGTTTATGCCACGAGCTAGAGAAGACGAGTGTCTTATATTGGCCAGTGATGGACTTTGGGATGTAATGAGTAACCAAGAAGCTTGTGATTTTGCAAGGAGGCGGATCTTGGCTTGGCACAAGAAGAATGGAGCATTGCCTTTAGCTGAGAGAGGTGTAGGGGAAGACCACGCGTGTCAAGCCGCAGCTGAATATCTCTCCAAACTCGCTCTTCAAAAGGGAAGCAAAGACAATATCTCAATCATAGTGGTCGACTTGAAAGCTCAAAGAAAGTTCAAGACCAGATCTTGAATCAGTGTACGCTCGAGCTCTTACACTTATAATTTTATTATTTCTTATTTCTTAGAAATTTCCACAAGTTTACATAAAAATAAGAAGTGAAATGTTGGGGGAAGAAGAATTAAGACCTTGATGATGGTGATGATGCATAGCTAAAGTCCATTCCTTTTTCTCATGGACTTGAATGTGTATGTTTGTTATGTATAAGAAGAATAGAGAAGAGATGTTTTTTTTTTTTATATATATAATTTTTATTTTGGGATCTTTATAAAAAGTAGGTGGATATGTTGTAATATTGGAGATGTGGCTTAAGGGATTGTAACTGAAATTTATGTCACATTAACCTTTTATTATACATAAATAGTTGTTGAAAGAGAGTAATAATTGTCTTTTTCTATTGTTATACATATACAACAGGTAATATTGATACCAAAGTGTTGAGTAAGGAATACTGTATTGTCCCCCTGCCTTTTCAGTTTTCACTACTAGAGAGTAGAGTTTAACGACCGAAACGAGCCTAAATAAGAGATCACAATTGGTAGGTTAAGGTCTCATAATTCTTTAGAATTTAACAAAAATAATGAGTTGAATAGTTTATGAATCAAACAGAAACCCCAAGTGATGAATGGATCAGAGTCACATTAAGGAGATCATAATAACTGGTGTTTTAGTGTGATGTAGTGTCGTCAAACAATGTGCTGAGCCAAAGTAAGGATCTTGAGCTGTTTCCTGAGGCGCATCTCGTGGGGGACAGGACCAAACACTCGAGTACCAGTCGGTTGGTTATACTCAAATTTTCTCTTGGAACCATCCGAATTCTTCTTCTTCTTTTCCTTAATGCCCACAACTACAACGGCATTGTCATCAAACCTGACTTGGCTTCCATCAGCACGTCCTTTCTGCATCGCAGCACGCACAACCACACCGTACACGACCATCCCTTTCTTCACTTTACCTTTTGGTATGGCGTCTTTCACTGAACCAACAATGATATCGCCAAGTCTTGCTCCTTTCTTACCTCTCAGGGATTGAATGCACATCACTTCTTTAGCACCCGAGTTATCCACAGATTTGAGAATCGTCCCCATTTGAATGAATGACCTATGTTGTTGCTGTAAATTGGAAAACATCATGACATACAATTCACAGGTTATCTCCCAAAGTATAAGAAGGAAGATTCATCAAAAAGAGGCTTAACCTGAGAGAGGATGCTCCCATTCATCATTCCATTGGAGGAACTCATCAAACCAGAGAAAGCATTGCAAAGACCTCCAAGCAATGAACGTCCTGCTCTTATTGTCGATGAATCAAAATCATATAAGCAACATAACCGAAAAAATAATCATTTGCGGCAAAGAGATTTGAGCATGAGTTAGTGCCATCAATAACAAGAACAAAAGGTTTAATCTTTGAGTCTGCATTTCATGAACGAAGCAAAGTTGATGACTCAAATCAATTACAAAATTCAACAACTCAAAGCTCACAAGAGTGTAGAAGATGTAATCTTATTTCGAAACTTAAACTCCCACGGTTGCTAATAAATCAATGTTGCAAAAGATCTAATTTTTAAAGAAGTAAACTTTAACATATAAAATAATATAAACCCAAAACCGAGATTAGCTAGTCGCTATAAGAAGGCGTAAGAGATGAAAATGTACCTTTGGAGAGCCTGGAAGCTAAAGCTGCCGCCATTTCTGCAATTTAGAGGATTCAATCTTTAGTGGCGCAGAGAGCCTATGAATCTTGCGATTGCACAAAGACCCCAAATTTAGGGTTTTACGTCACACACACACACTCGCAGTCGCAGCGATCATTTGGGCTCTGTGTAATAAATGGTTACTGACTTAGTAAGCTATATTGTAAGAAAGTGGTGACGCTATCAAAAGTGGGCGTGCCGGAGTGGTTATCGGGCATGACTAGAAATCATGTGGGCTTTGCCCGCGCAGGTTCGAATCCTGCCGCTCACGGAATTCTTTTTTTTTTTTCTTATTAACCTTAATTTCTCCTTATTTTCTTATACATTAAAACATGGGCCACAACATATTCTCCACATATAACATTTATTTACCCCAATATCTGATATTATTAATTAACAAAAAGAAACAATGGTGCCCTATATTAATAACAAACAATTTTTTCCTACTTTTTTACAAGACAAATCCAAAAAAATTTTAATGTTAAGAAAAAATCCTAAATGAAGAATTTTTAAAGCGAGCGAGAAGAGGTTGGTCAAGTGGAACATTTCACCGATGCCGTCCATTTTGAAGCGAGCAGTGGGACCCACTGGTAATCCGTATCAGACAAGAGACAAAATAAAAACCCCCAAATGGCTTCTTCAAGCGGAGCTCCAACGAAACGCTTTTTTTTTGAAACTCTCCACCGCAAATAGAGATTTACCAAATTCTCACCGGAGGGCTTTCCTTTCCTGAGATTTCCGGTGCGACTTTATCAAAAAGAAACAATGGTGCCCTATATTAATAACAAACAATTTTTTCCTACTTTTTTACAAGACAAATCCAAAAAAATTTTAATGTTAAGAAAAAATCCTAAATGAAGAATTTTTAAAGCGAGCGAGAAGAGGTTGGTCAAGTGGAACATTTCACCGATGCCGTCCATTTTGAAGCGAGCAGTGGGACCCACTGGTAATCCGTATCAGACAAGAGACAAAATAAAAACCCCCAAATGGCTTCTTCAAGCGGAGCTCCAACGAAACGCTTTTTTTTTGAAACTCTCCACCGCAAATAGAGATTTACCAAATTCTCACCGGAGGGCTTTCCTTTCCTGAGATTTCCGGTGCGACTTTATCACTCCCAAGTCTCTCCACAAGTAGATAGATTCTGCTCCAATCTCTTCATCTGGGGTTTGCTTTTCAAATGGTAAATTCAAATATATCTACTTTTTTTTTTTTTTTTTTTTTAAATTCTTAAGAGTTATATTTATCGGTCTCTTCGCTCTTTGTTTCCCCCTTGTTTATTTGAAAATTGAAAACCCTGCTTGCTTGTTTGTTTCGTTAATGTTGTTGTTGCGTTTGCTTGCTTACCTTTTTGTTTTCCTTTTTAGAGAGAGACTCTAATTCTTGATCTATGATTGTTTTTACTTCTGCAAGGTTTTGGTTTGACTAGTTCTAGCTCAGTTCTTAAAGGCTTGCTCTTTGTCTCAATTATAATCTCGTTTATGTAATTTTGCCTAGAGCTGTAAAATGGATGATAACTGGCCCTTGAACCTGTGAATCTTAGAGGCTATGTTTTTGATGTTGTTAAATGCAATGCACTGGTTGCAGGCTGCTCCAGTCATAATTGTGGGTTCACATGTGTGGGTTGAAGATCCTCATTTGGCATGGATAGATGGACAAGTTACTCGAATTGATGGTGAAAACATTCACGTCAAAACTAAGAAGGGGAAAACCGTAAGTTTCTATAAGCTTACACGTTTCTTATTTTACTTGAATCAATGAGCTCGTATGTGGCCTTGACCTTTGGGTGATGGCTAAAAAAGAGTAGGAATAAGAGAGGTGATAAATTTAGACGTCGATTTATGTTACTTGTGATCTTGGAATGGGATACTGTCATAGTCCCGTTATAACCCTAGATCGGCAGGTTTTCTGCATTCAAGGTAGATTTAGGTTATTATGCTTTTAGTGTTTTTATCAAACCAAGTAACATAATAAATAAAGGAAAAGACCTCAAGTTATTGGTATTTACTGAATGTCGAAAGGCAAGTGTATAGAAATATGGAGTGAAGAGTATAAAGCTTCCAGGCTTTCTATTTGACAGTTATCTTGATATATTTTAAGATTTCTATTGAAAGTTGAAACTGTTACCCGTGATAGGGAAACAGCTTAACGTGGTAAGATGCAGCAGGATTTACGTTGTCATTTTATACGTTGTTGCTCATGATATATTTTCATGATAAGTTCGTTGCTGTCAAGTATAGATGTTCACACTTCCTTGTTGGACATGGTTCTCCTCACATATCCCCATGTTGTATGGATTTCAGGTTGTGACAAACGTATATTTTCCCAAGGATACTGAAGCTCCATCTGGAGGTGTAGATGACATGACAAAGCTTTCATACTTGCATGAGCCTGGAGTCTTACGAAACCTTGAGACAAGATACGAACTTAATGAAATATATGTAAGATAATTTACCATTTTTTCTAGCATCTCTTACTTTTTGTTGCTGCAAAGGAAATCATTTGAAATAAGCTATGATACTAATAAGTTTTGTGTTACTTCTGTAGACATATACGGGGAATATCCTAATTGCAGTTAATCCATTCCAAAGGCTGCCTCATATTTATGAAACTGATATGATGGAACAATATAAGGGAGCTGCACTTGGAGAACTAAGTCCTCATGTTTTTGCAATTGGGGATGCTGCATACAGGTTTGTGCATCTTCACACCCATCAATTTAACCTCTATCTATTTTGTGAGATAATTTACTGATTTGTCATGGTGTAAGTTATTAGGGCAATGATTAATGAAGGAAAAAACAATTCGATTTTGGTAAGTGGAGAAAGTGGTGCTGGTAAAACCGAGACGACAAAGATGCTCATGAGGTACCTTGCCTTTTTGGGAGGGAGGTCTGGTGTAGAAGGAAGGACAGTTGAACAGCAAGTCTTAGAGGTTTGTTTTATATTTTCATGAAAAATGAAGATTATTCCATATATGGTGGTATACAGCTTCATGTGTATATCCCCAATGGCATATTGCAGTCTAATCCAGTTCTCGAAGCATTTGGCAATGCAAAAACTTTACGGAACAACAATTCAAGGTACTTTCTCCGTCTTTCCAAATCTGGGGTTTATCAGCTAAGTTCATTAAATTAGTAATTAGTTCATACTAGGATTTATTGTTAAATGCTTTGTTCCTTAAATTTCTTTAAATGTTTTTAATTATTCTTCCGATTATACCTTAAGAAAACTCGTATTCATTGTTATTTGGCCGTTTTCATTCTACTTGATGGCACCCACCTCGCAGTCGTTTTGGTAAATTTGTTGAAATCCAATTTGACAAGAATGGAAGGATATCTGGGGCAGCTATTAGGACTTATCTGCTGGAGAGGTCCCGTGTTTGCCAAATCTCAGATCCTGAAAGGAACTACCATTGCTTTTATCTTCTTTGTGCTGCTCCGCCAGAGGTATCTCGTAATTTATTTTCTTCTAATTGACACATTGAGTGCATGTCATCCCATGCTGATATCGTACTCATTTTTTTCTATTTTCGTGGTTATTTTGCAGGATATAAAGAAGTACAAGCTGGAAAACCCACATAAATTCCATTATCTAAATCAGTCAAGTTGTTATAAATTGGATGGTGTTGATGATGCTAAAGAATACCTTGAAACCAGAAGAGCCATGGATGTAGTTGGAATCAGTAACGAAGAACAGGTCCTCAAACTAATGTGTTAAAGAGGTCAGGTTTCCGTTCTGCTACTTTCATGCTAGAGTTTGACATGTAAAGTAAATATTTTCAGGAGGCAATCTTCAGGGTGGTTGCTGCAATTCTTCATCTTGGTAACATTGATTTTGGAAAGGGGGAAGAGATAGATTCTTCGGTCATCAAGGATAAAGATTCCCGAAGTCATCTTAATATGGCGGCAAAGCTACTTATGTATGGTCCTTTTTCTTACTATATTTGAAACTGTTTGTCCATTTTCGTTTTAGTGGATTATGTATTCGTTGTAAAAGCTATTTTTTATATTGTGCACTTGTTTTGACAGGTGTAACGCCCAGAGCCTAGAAGATGCTCTTATTAGGCGTGTAATGGTTACACCTGAAGAGATTATCACGAGAACTCTTGATCCCGATAATGCAATTGCGAGTAGGGATACCCTGGCCAAGACAATATATTCTCACTTGTTTGACTGGTATGTAAGCAAACTTCCTCTTCCATTTCCCCATCTGGCATTTTTATATATATTTGCATAATACGTTTTATTCTATCATTTACAGGATTGTGAACAAAATTAACACTTCCATCGGGCAGGACCCACGGTCAAAGTCGATTATTGGAGTTCTGGATATCTATGGGTTTGAAAGTTTCAAATGCAATAGGTATTGTTATACGTAAAACATTCTTTGCTATCACCTTTACCCCATTTCATTCCAGGAGTGCATGGAGGACCAATCTAGGCATGCTTGGATAGCTTTAAAGAAATAATTCTTTGTCATCTCCTGCTATTTCAACTGAAATCTGCCAATGTCTCTATATCTTTTGCAGTCTCAGAATATTGAGTGGGTGTTAGATATAGTTTCATATAAAGTGTGTCAAGATGTTGGAAGGAAATTGCTAACCGTGGAAAGTTAGTAGATTTATCTATTATTAAAGAGTTGTAGTTGATCTTTTGTTTGGCTTATGATACAGTTTTGAGCAATTCTGCATCAATTTCACGAATGAAAAACTGCAACAGCATTTTAATCAGGTTAGTCGTTTACTTGTTTTTATATTGATCAGCGCTTTTGCTTTTTGATAAGTAGATTGTACTTATTTCTGGTATCACTCTTTTGCAGCATGTCTTTAAGATGGAGCAGGAAGAGTACACCAAAGAAGAGATTGATTGGAGTTACATAGAGTTTATTGATAACCAAGATGTTCTTGATTTAATTGAAAAAGTATGTTTCTCCTTTCTTATAACTTAACAGACTTACATTTCAGTTTGTGATATTTGATTGATTAATGATAACCATATTTAGGTTTAGGAGCAGAGATCTTGTTTACTGCACAATTATGTTTTGCTTTCCCTTTTCTTATGTTAAAATTGTGTGTCTTCAATCAGAAACCAGGAGGAGTTATTTCACTTCTAGATGAAGCCTGGTATGCTTTATCTTTCTCAGATTAACTTGCATGCCTTTCTCATAGTACTATCCGCTCATGTTTTTTGGTTGATTCAACTCAGCATGTTTCCCAAGTCTACACATGAAACCTTCTCTCAAAAGCTGTTCCAGACGTTTAAAAATCACAAGAGATTTGCCAAACCGAAGC